GACCAGATGCCTCTTCAGTCATTAACCCTGTAGATCTGATGCCTCTTCAGTCATTAACCCTGTAGATCTGATGCCTCTTCAGTCATTAACCCTGTAGATCTGAAGAGACCTCTTCAGTCATTAACGCTGTAGACCTGTAGAGACCTCTTCAGTCAATAACCCTGTAGACCTGTAGAGACCTCTTCAGTCATTAACCTGTTAAGCCCGAGAGACCCCGGTACCGGGGCACTGCCGCAACATCTTGCAGGAAACAGTGTCTGAAGGCATGTTCATTTAATAAACTATGAACGGGAAGAAACTCATCTAACTGATCATTTTTTTTTTTTTCAAAAGAAAACCCACAATGCTAACACTGAGCCTCTGAATTAGCAACAAGCGAAAAATGCTAACACCTTACTCCACCGAAAATCACTCACTAAACCTTATTATTTATCTCTTCTCCGCATCCATGACATCGTTTCACATCGAGAGGTGACACAGAATCGATGGACACCCACATTATCACTGAATTATACGAAATGGCGACGTTATAAGCAAAAACGGACATCAAAACAGGTGACGCTAGGTAGCTAAAAATGCTAACATTTTTACCTTGGCTCTTTAGTCTCTCCAAAGTGGTCTTCAATGGCATTAAAACGATAAAAACACTGCTGAAGTTAATCCATAGGTTAATCAAATGTGTCTCTGTCCCTTTGAAATGATTTCTGATAATCCATAAGCATTAAAACTGCTTTTCCGTTTCCAGATGTGAAAGCTAGAGATAGGTTCACTCTGATGGAAAATTACATGCGCGAAGCCCCCACCTTTTCGTTTCACAATGAGTGTGTGTGGGGGACTCCCCCTTCGATTCTATTGGCTCTAACGGTCAGAAAGAGGTGTCAACCATCAAAATTGAGCAAGGGGGGCCAGAGATATGGAAAATCCACCCAAATGACCCCAGAAGTGGTTTCTTTTTGCTAAACCTCTCTAAAAAGGTCAAATGTCACTTGTTTTGCATCAATCTTGATACAGGGTACTTAGTATATGTTGTACTTTGGATTCCTAAAGCTTTTAGTCCTTACCATCATCCAAGGGTAGTTTTCACTATAAGTAATTTACATTTGTTTACTATGTAAAATCTGAATTTTCTTTAAAATAAAAAACATCTATATTGATTCTGACTATTCTACATCCAACTCACATGTTTATCATTACTTTGAGAAAAAAGATTATTAATGTTCCCCTTTTAGAAGGGAAGATATGGTCATTTGTTCTGGGAATGTCATTTTCGAGCCTGAGACCTGAAAAACAGGCTCAGGGCTTAACAGGTTAACCCTGTAGACCTGAAGAGACCTCTTCAGTCATTAACCCTGTAAATCTGATGCCTCTTCAGTTGTTTTTTTCAGAGTTTTGATGATCAGTTGTTGTAGAAAGATAGAGTTTTGATGATCAGTTGTTGATGTAGAGAGATAGAGTTTTGATGATCAGTTGTTGATGTAGAGAGATTGAGTGATTTTGTTCCAACATGTATCTGTTTCCTGTCAGGCCCGGCCTCCGTCACCGATCTGTCCATCAGCGCCAACACCACCTCCGGCCTGGCCTTCCTCTGGTCTCCGCCTGAAGGGGAGTTTGACGGGTACGAGATCTTTCTGTATAAGAGTGACAATTCGCTGCAGGAGAGAAGAGGCGGGCCCTCCAGCATCCAGCAGGTCTCCTTCCAGGGGCTCAGACCTGGAGCCCCTTACCGGCTGGTGGTGGTGACGCACAGCGGAGCGCAAATAAACCAATCAGCTGTGTGGGCCCGGACAGGTTATTATTATTATTATTATATTATATATATATATATTTTTTTGTATTATCATAACTATTTAGGTAATATTAGAACTCTTTTTGCATATCGTGTATTTATTTTTGCCATGTTTATAAATGTCATGTTCTTATATGTTGTATGTGAGGGGTCTGTTGGACTGGCTTCAGAGTACAGGCCACAGGAGTGTTCTCAGTGTGCCCTGGGGCCTATACTACAAAGCCGGATTTTCGCTTAGCCGGCTGACTTCAGGGAAAACTCGGGCTTTCCGGTCCTACGACGCTGGTTCTCTTTTTAGCAGGCTAGATCTCCATGGTAACTGATGCTGAGCGGCTAACCTCCTCGGGAGCAGGTTAGGTTGCAGGCTAAGAGATCAACTCAGTGAAAGCACCGCCTGCTGACCAATCAGAGCTCACCGCCTGCTGACCAATCAGAGCTCCGTGTGCGGAGTTTAAAGATATCAAGTCATATTACAGGATAGAGGAAATACAGAAACACTGCCAATGCAGGAAAGACGGCCGGCAAAAATCAACTGACTGTGTGAACGTGAACATGAATAGAATATCCCCTCCCATCTTCAGAGCAATCTGACTATTATAACATTAGCGTTAAGAAAGCTTACTTAAATATCTGCCACAACATAAGTAACCGGATCAGAGTAACATTACGTACAGTCTGCGGCACTGTGAGTGCAGACGTCGATGTGTCCCATTATCATTCATATCATATCACATCATAATGTATCATATATCTCCTTATCTGAGTCAGCTGAGCCGTATCTGGCCGTGCAACACTCACAGTGTCACATACTGTATGCAGAAGTATTATTTTAAGCAACACATTAAGTTGACGAAACACTCGAGTCAAATGTAATTAAAGTCAGATCGTGTCTTGGACGGGGCAGTGATATCATAAACCTGTTAATGTACGCATTCAAACACTTTCTCTGTTACCAGCTGTATTCACCTTGCAGGTGCAGCTATGTGGCTTTGATCCTGGATAAAGTGTTTAAGTCATGGATGTTTAAAGTTTAACTTCTTCATATTTGACTAATATTAAAGTTCACTTTTCATTCAGGAAGTATGACGCTGCACTGTCAGTACGCTTGTCCATGTTTGTGATTGGTCGAATGCTCCAAATACCACCCCTTTCATGTGAACGCGCACCTAACTAGATAGGACACGGCTGGCTTGAGCGATCCACTTGATAACCAGCGTCGTAGTACAGTTTAGCCAGAGCGCGTATGTTTTGGATTGGGCCAACCGGCTAACTCAAACATATCCAGGTTAGGAAAATCCGGCTTCGTAGTACAGGCCTCTGATGTCTTCATTCCACGCAGCCGTAATATTCGAACTGTATTAGTTTGTTGGTGTTGTTGTTGATGTTGTTGTTGTTTATTGAGAGAGTTGTGCCCCCATGTGTTCAGTCCCAGCAGCCGTGGTGTCTCTGCTGGTCCAGACGGGGAACCAGTCCCTGAGGCTGAGCTGGGCTCGAGGGGCTGGAGACGTGAGCGGCTACCTGGCATCTCTGATTGGCTCCCACGGGGCCAGGTGGGCGGAGCCTCTGAGCCCAAACGCCACAGAGTTCCTCTTCTCAGGCCTCAGGCCGGGTCGCCTGTATCGGGTGGAGCTGCTGAGCCTGAGCGGAGGGTGGAGCAACGCAGCCTTCAGCCAGGGGAGGACGGGTGAGGAACACTACCCAAACACCACCCAGACACCACCCAAACACCATCCAGACACCACCCAAACACCACCCAGACACCACCCAAACACCACCCAGACACCACCCAAACACCATCCAGACACCACCCAAACACCACCCAGACACCACCCAAACACCACCTAGACACAACCCAAACACCACCACAACACCACCCAGACACCACCACAACACCAACACAACACCAACACAACACCACCCAAACACCAACACAACACCACCCAAACACCAACACAACACCACCCAAACACCACCCAAATACCAACACAACACCACCCAAACACCACCCAAATACCAACACAACACCACCCAGACACAACACCACCCAAACACCAACACAACACCACAGAAATGCTCTCTGTGGGACGAGGTCATTGGGTGATCCGATAGACTTTAATATTAAACCGCTCCGTAGTCCAAACCAAACTGTATGACTTCCTGCTTCTGACCCTTCACAATAAAGCCCTGATGGTTCAGTCAGAGCAAACATGACATTACATTACATTGCATTTAGCTGACGCTTTTATCCAAAGCGACTTACAATAAGTGCATTCGACCAAGAAGATACAAACTTGAAGAAAACAGAATCAAATAAGTACATCAGGTGACGCTGTGTAAAGTACTGATGGACTGAGACATGAAATCTAGTAAAACCTGAAGTCCTGTGACTCAGAACCTCATCAGAAACAGTTTTTATCACCGGAGATTTCTACGAGTTTCTGGCCAGTAAGGGGCGCTGCAGAGCAGATCTGCAGGGGGGGGAACACACATATCTGGATAGTGATTGGTCTAAATGTTGGCTGATCACAGTCTACATTACACACGTATTTGACGTATATATATAAATAAATATATATATTTTAGGATTTGAATTAGTATCTAACATCATATCGTAGCATTAGTGCGAAATAAAAAAATTAAAATGGTAAGACATGTTTTAATTGTGTGTTTGTCCCCACAGCTCCCAGCCCCCCCACCTCCTTCCTGTTCGGGGGGGTCACCAACACCTCTCTGGAGGTCACCTGGAACGCCCCCCCCGACTGCGACTACGACGGCTTCGAGCTGCAGTGGCTGCCTCGGGACCGGCTGTCCGTCACAGACCCGTATAGAAGCCCCGCCTCCAGGAGCCGCATCCTGCAGGGCCTGTTTCCAGGGCGACGCTACACCTTCAGCCTGAGCACCGTCAGCGGTGGGGCCGGGGGGGCCACGTACAGCCCCCCCATCCACAACAGCATCCGGACCAGTAGGTGTAATCTGTGTATTAGTACTAACAGAGTGTGTATCAGTACTAACAGAGTGTAGTACTAACAGAGTGTAGGACTAACAGAGTACTCCCTCAGGACCCGGGGGGGTGCAGGCTCTGCACAGTGTGTATTAGTACTAACAGAGTGTGTATTAGTACTAACAGAGTGTGTGTTAGTACTAACCGAGTACTCGTCCCTCAGGACCCGGGTGGTTGCAGGCTCTGCACAGTGTGTATTACTACTAACAGAGTGTGTATTAGTACTAACAGAGTGTAGTACTAACAGAGTACTCGTCCCTCAGGACCCGGGTGGTTGCAGGCTCTGCACAGTGTGTATTAGTACTAACAGAGTGTGTATTAGTACTAACAGAGTGTAGTACTAACAGAGTACTCGTCCCTCAGGACCCGGGTGGTTGCAGGCTCTGCACAGTGTGTATTACTACTAACAGAGTGTGTATTAGTACTAACAGAGTGTAGTACTAACAGAGTACTCGTCCCTCAGGACCCGGGTGGTTGCAGGCTCTGCACAGTGTGTATTAGTACTAACAGAGTGTGTATTAGTACTAACAGAGTGTAGTACTAACAGAGTACTCGTTCCTCAGGACCCGGGGGGTTTCAGGCTCTGCACAGTGTGTATTACTACCAGAGATGGGGTCGTTACTAAAAAAAAGTAATATATTACATATTACATATTACTTTAAAAAAAAGTAATATATTACACTACTTCGTTACTCTCTACATAAAGTAACTCGTTACTTTACTCGTTACTTTACTCGTTACTTTACTCGCAGGGCCGGCCCGCCCCTCCCTACAGGCAGATCACGCAGACTGCTAAAGTTTCAAATGTTCTCTTTAGTTCAGTTTCCATTGTCGCATAAGACTGATCCAGATAGCTCTGACTATGGCTGTTCTCTGTCTCCTGCTATCTGTATTTAGCGCAGTATATCTCTGAACGATGCGATGGTGATTCCACTGTGCAAATGGGCAACATTACCTCTACTATGAAGGATGCTACAAGCCTGTCCATCTCTGCTTTGGTTACCGGTCCTCCAAATTCTAATTTGTGCCGCTTCAGAGTCGGCGGCGGCGCACTCACAACATCCTCACTCTGGGTTCGGGGGTCCTTAGCTATTAGCTTCACCTTAGCATGTGTTCTTTGCAGGTGTTTGTTGAGGTTTGACGTGGTGTTTACAGCAGTGGATAACAGCTTCTGGCCTGGACACAGTTTGCACCTCACCGTCACATTCCTGTCTATTCTTCGGACGAACTCAAAATAATGGGCATACCTCCACCCCTCGAAAGTTATCGCTGACTCAGCCATGTTTATGCAGCACTGCACACGGAGATGTGGACGTGCAAGTCGCGCAGATTACGTACATATAAACCTGCGGCGGAAACCCCTCTTGTCTGTCAGTGTGATTATGACTGATTTTATAAAAGTAACGAAGTAACGCGTGTCGGGGCAATGTTAGTAACTGTAGTGTGATTACTGAATTATAAAAGTAACGCGTTACACTACTAACTCAGGACCCGGGGGGTTGCAGGCTCTGCACAGTGTGTATTAGTACTAACAGAGTGTGTATTTGTAGTAACAGAGTGTAGTACTAACCAGAGATGGAGTACTCGAGTCCTGGACTCGGACTCGAGTCAGACTCCAGTGCCGATTTTCGGGACTCGTGACTCGACTCGGACTCGCGCACTGATTGACGCGACTCGGACTTGGACTTGTGAATTCTGGCGTACGATGACTTGGACTCAGACTCGTGAATTTTTCCCCCCACGATGACTCGGACTCGACTTGTACATTGACGCTCTGACTTGGACTCGGACTCGAGCAAGTTTTCTCTGGAGTCTGATGTCCTCTATCCTGGCGTGTGCACCGGCTGCGAGGCGAGTTCACGTACTGGGCCCCGCTATTCCAGTAGATGTCTAGAGACACACATTCTGCTTCCACATTGGAAAAGAGCAGCGCAAAATGCTCTATGTGGAAACAATGTTGAAGAGAAGGCTCCGTAACACATTACTCTAGTAGTAGTAGTATTCGTTTATTTGTCCCCGGGGGGGAAATGGGTTGCAGCACATCACAAAGGCATTTAAAAATATAAGACAATACGTCACTGACAACAACATGGACACAGATTAAAAGAAACAGACATAAGAAAAACAGAAATCGGCAGACATGACAAGGGGCCTAGGCCCTCATTTGCGAAATAGGGGGGACAGGGCCAGACCAGCTGGATAAACAGTGCGTCCTAGCCATCATTTATTCAGGAGTTTGATGGCTTGTGGGACGAAAGACAGCCCAGATCTGTTCATATTTTAACCATTCTGTTGCCGACATTAAAAGACAATAATTTACGTAAAAAAAACATTCTTTGTTGAGACTTAGCATTTATTTTCTAAGGATCGAGTTCAGACATATAGGCTGTCTTGAACACTATCATCAGAGTAACGTGATCTAATCAATAAATAAAGATTCAGCCGATACTTAGCATGCAGAATGACGTCATTTTGCATGCTAAGTAGCCATGTGCTTTCTGGGGCTTAATCTTCATCAGTAAACCGATTTAACCGGTAAAAGTTCCTTTAAAATAAGAGTCCCGATCTTATTACTATCAAAATAAAAGTGCAAAATGAAAACTTTACCGTATGAAAATATTAGCATACAAATATAATCACTTCTCTAAAAGGTAACTCATTTTAAATATAGTTAGACATATTATAGGTCATTTACAATAATAATAATATTAATAATAAGCTTTATATTTGTATAGCACCTATTACAAGACTTGTAGCCAAACTGGCTTCACAGCAGTTCAATAGACAGATTAGTATAACATGACAGGATGAAAGCAATGTAGAGGAGCAGCTACATTTCAACACATATATCCACGAAGATTAATACATGAAGACTTGGGACTCTGACTTGACTTGGACTCTTCTTAGGTGACTCGGACTTGGACTCGGACTCGGACTCGACTCGGACACTCCTTGGGTGACACCGACTTGGACTCTGACTCGACTACGACTCTCCCTTGGTGACTCCGACTTGGACTCGGACTCGAAGAGTGGTGACTCGAGAGTGACTTGGACTCGTGAATTGGTGACTTGACTACAACACTGGTACTAACAGAGTACTCGTTCCTCAGGACCCGGGGGGTGGCAGGCTCTGCACAGTGTGTATTATTACTAACAGAGTGTAGTACTAACAGAGTACTCGTTCCTCAGGACCCGGGGGGGTGCAGGCTCTGCGCTGCCGCCCCCAGAGCTCCACCTCTCTCTCCTGCTCCTGGACCCCCCCCCAGGCAGACTACGACTCCTTCAGCATTGAGTGCTCTGACTCGAGGCTCCTGGTGTACTCGCGGCGCAGCAACAACACCACGTACGTGATCGAGCATCTGCAGCCGAGCCGGAGGTACAGCGTCAGCGTGAAGACCATCTCAGAGCAGAGCACCAGCGAGGAGGCGCGGGACAGCGTGCTCACCATGATCGACCGTGAGACTTCCTGTTTCCTGTAAAGCACTTCCTGTTTCCTGTTTCTGTTAATGACTTCCGGTTTCCTGTTAATGACTCCCTGTTTCCTGCAGGTCCTCCGGTGCCCCTCCCCAGCACCAGGATCAGTGTTCTCTCTGCTGCGGTCACCTCGGTGGTCTTCCAGGTGAACTGCAGCTGGTTCAGTGACGCTCACGGAGCCGTCAGGTTCTTCACGGTGGTGGTGTCCGAATCTCAGGGTGAATATAAACTCCCTCAGGACCATGTGATGCTCAGAGTCCAGTGTTAAAGTCTTTCATCCAGACCTTAGGGTTAGAATCAGGTTTCTTCACACATACAACAGACTGTGTCTCGCTCGGAGAGGACGCTGGCGTTGACTGCTCGCCGCTTCTCCGTTGACTGCTCGCCGCTTCTCCGCCTCTGTTACCCCTCTATCCTTTTCTGCATTGCACATTGTTTTTAATTTTAACTTATTTTGGACTTCCTCCACTGCTGGCTGTAGCCTGCTGCCCTCACCCAGCCAACAAAGTGCCGGGTGGCTAATGCTATCTGCTACATCGCCTACTTGTCTGTCTCCGTCCCACGCAACAACCGTGGGCTCTCTCTGCTTCCTGCCTTCATCTCTGGTGTGCATTTGTCCCGTCCTGCTGCTCACATACTCCTGCCATGTCGTGGATCTTCCTCGTCTTCACAACAATCCTCCACCTCTGTGCAGCTAGCCCGCTAGCCGCTATCGCTGCTAACACACTGCTCCCAGCCTTTCCGCCTGTCATCATGCTGAAATACTCCATCTCACAGCTTCTGTCACTCAACAACTCCTCCACCCCTTCTTCCATCTCAGTCATCAGACATCTTGGACTCCTCCGACGACCCCGCTACATTCACCGAAGCACCCGCCGCAGTTTTGTTTACTTTCAGCACGGACAATCCATAGCATCCATCTGCTCTACCACCTGACGCGTCATCAGAACGCAACTACTACTGCTCCTCTTACACTCTCCCCCGCTCCCCTAAACTCCCAGCTGCACGGAATACCCGGAGCGGATTCCACTCCCCTCCGCCACCCGACGCATATAACAAGCCATTTCTCCCCACCATCAAGCCCCCCTCCTCTGCTCCACCGCCCCCATTCTCGTACCCACCCCCGGCTGCTAACCTGGACAACCTCATACCTCTCCAGCCTGCCACCACCCCTCCAACCATCCACTTGACCAATTTTGCCCTCCTCAAAATCCGGTCACTCACCAATAAAGCCCACATCCTTCACAAACTAATTCTGGACAAATCCATCGACTTCCTTCTGCTCACTGAAACCTGGCAACAACAATAAACCCCACCCCTCACGCCGTGGTGGTGGGCTGGCTGTCATCTACAACCATCCGGATTACAGAACTCACCCTCCCCTCAGTACCATCCTTTGAATTCCTCGCCTTCAAAGCCCCTCCCTCACTGACAGTTATCCTCATTTACCAGCGCCCCAAACCACACCCCTCCTTCCTCTCTGAACTCCTCACCATTGCTTCATCCCTCTCCCCACGTCTGTTAATCCTCGGCGACCTCAACATCCACATGGACTCCCCCCCCCCACCTGCAAACACGCTTCTGAATTCTCCTCCCTTCTGGACAATTTCTTACTTACCCAACATGTCACCTACCCCACCCATGATAAAGGACACATCCTTGACCTGGTCTGCTCAACCAACCTCCCAGTACTCGACCTCCACCCCTGCCCCTTTCCCCTCTCTGACCACAAACTCATACAGTTCACCATCGCCTCCCCCGTCCGCCACCACCGCCACCACCCCCCCCCCCCCCCCCCCCCCATCCACCTCAGCCAGTTTGCTTTCCACCCCCAAGGCCAAACTCCGGAGCTTTGGGGACAGAGCCTTCTCTGTGGCAGCCCCGAAGCTCTGGAACTCCCTCCCCCAAGACCTCCGTGATTCTGAGTCCCTCACCCTGTTCCAGTCCCGCCTCAAAACCCATCTCTTCAACTCTGTTTATCCATAAGCCCCACCCCCCTCTCAATCAACTTCCTCTTGACTGCCTTTTCTGTTTATTTTATTTGTTTTGTTTTGTTGTTTTTGTCTGTTTTTGCCTGTCCTTGTTTGTCTACCCTCCCTCACTCTGTAAAGCGTCTTTGAGTTCGAGAAAAGCGCTATATAAATATAATATATTATTATTATTATTATTATACAAGGAGTTGCTTTGGTGTCTGGTGGTACGAACATAAACTACATAAGAAAATAAGTTGTAAAAGATATAATATAACCATTATAAAAAGAAAGTATTTTTGAAAAACTATTTAAAAAGTAGCCTCCCTGTAAGCTGACCTAAAGAAGGCCTGGTCCCTGTATGCTGACCTTAAGAAGGTCTGATCCCTGTATGCTGACCTAAAGAAGGCCTGGTCCCTGTATGCTGTCCTAAAGAAGGTCTGATCCCTGTATGCTGTCCTAAAGAAGGTCTGATCCCTGTATGCTGTCCTAAAGAAGGTCTGATCCCTGTATGCTGACCTTAAGATGGTCTGATCCCTGTATGCTGACCTTAAGAAGGTCTGGTCCCTATATGCTGACCTTAAGAAGGTCTGATCCCTGTATGCTGACCTTAAGAAGGCCTGGTCTCTGTATGCTGACCTAAAGAAGGCCTGGTCCCTGTATGCTGACCTAAAGAAGGCCTGGTCCCTGTATACTGACCTAAAGAAGGCCTGGTCCCTGTATGCTGACCTAAAGAAGGCCTGGTCCCTGTATGCAGACCTAAAGAAGGTCTGATCCCTGTATGCTGTCCTAAAGAAGGCCTGGTCCCTGTATGCAGACCTAAAGAAGGTCTGATCCCTGTATGCTGTCCTAAAGAAGGTCTGGTCCCTGTATGCTGACCTAAAGAAGGCCTGGTCCCTGTATGCTGTCCTAAAGAAGGTCTGATCCCTGTATGCTGTCCTAAAGAAGGTCTGATCCCTGTATGCTGTCCTAAAGAAGGTCTGATCCCTGTATGCTGACCTAAAGAAGGTCTGGTCCCTGTATGCTGACCTTAAGATGGTCTGATCCCTGTATGCTGACCTTAAGATGGTCTGATCCCTGTATGCTGACCTTAAGATGGTCTGATCCCTGTATGCTGACCTTAAGAAGGTCTGGTCCCTATATGCTGACCTTACGAAGGTCTGATCCCTGTATGCTGACCTTAAGAAGGTCTGGTCCCTGTATGCTGACCTTAAGAAGGTCTGATCCCTGTATGCTGACCTTAAGAAGGTCTGATCCCTGTATGCTGACCTTAAGAAGGTCTGGTCCCTATATGCTGACCTTAAGAAGGTCTGGACCCTGTATGCTGACCTAAAGAAGGTCTGGTCCCTGTATTTTGACCTTAAGAAGGTCTGGTCCCTGTATGCTGACCTTAAGAAGGTCTGGTCCCTGTATGCTGACCTTAAGAAGGTCTGGTCCCTGTATGCTGACCTTAAGAAGGTCTGGTCCCTGTATGCTGACCTCTGCAGGTGATGAAGAGGAGCAGCTCTTCATCACCCTGTGTCTGGTCTCTCTGCAGGTGATGAAGAGGAGCAGCTCTTCATCACCCTGTGTCTGGTGTCTCTGCAGGTGATGAAGATGAGCAGCTCTTCATCACCCTGTGTCTGGTGTCTCTGCAGGTGATGAAGACGAGCAGCTCTTCATCACCCTGTGTCTGGTGTCTCTGCAGGTGATGAAGACGAGCAGCTCTTCATCACCCTGTGTCTGGTGTCTCTGCAGGTGATGAAGACGAGCAGCTCTTCATCACCCTGTGTCTGGTGTCTCTGCAGGTGATGAAGACGAGCAGCTCTTCATCACCCTGTGTCTGGTGTCTCTGCAGGTGATGAAGACGAGCAGCTCTTCATCACCCTGTGTCTGGTGTCTCTGCAGGTAATGAAGACGAGCAGCCTCAGCAGCAGCATCCTCTTCCTTCATACCGGGATTATAAATTCAACAGCTCCATAAAGAGCTTCCAGACAGGCTTCTTCCCCAGCAGCTGCAGCGACAGCAGCCAGCACAGCTTCCAGCTGGTTCTGGGCTCGGGGGCGCCTCCTCTGGGCGGGCCCTGTCAGCGCAGAGACGTCCAACCAGCAGAGAGCAGCACCGGCCAGTTCTGTGACGGGCCCCTGAAACCCAGAACTGCATACAGGTACCCGTCTCATGTGTTTAATGAACAGGCCACTAGACGCCTTACACTTTCTTAGTTGTGATCACTTGCTTGGCTCCCGCTGATGTGTTCATAATGTACGACTTGCGTTTAATCAAAATAAAATAATAAACTTTTCACACATTAAAGGTGGGGTAGGTAAGTTTGAGTAACCGGCTCGAGATACACATGTTGTTATATTCCATGGAATGCTCTTAACATCCCGATAGCAATGAATATCTTAAGTGCTTTGACAAAAAATCCATAATAAATATCATCTGTGGAAGCCGTGGTACTGTAAAAAGCACGACCAATCATTTGAGCCGGCCCGGCTAAAATAACTGGATGGCCTACCTGCCTCTCAGCCTTCCATCTGGGCACAAACTTATCTCGTGCCTTCATTGGTCATGTGCGCGTTCGTGTGTGTTGGAGGAGGGGCTCTGTAAGGAAGTGGCAGATTTTCTCCGGTTGTGTATTTTCAAATTCTAGCGATCTCGAGCCGGTTTCTCAAACTTACCTAGCCTACCTTTAACAAAGAAAGCCACCTTTAGAATAGTCAAACAAATCTTAGATCCTCTTTCTGGACATTGTGTAGTCTTTCGCACAGGTTACCCATCTCTGTGTCTCTTTAGAGGCTGGTGGGAATTGTAGTCTTTTATAGTCTTGACTACAGAGGTCAGGATTAGGTGACAATATTTGGCCATTTTAACAAAAAACAAAAGACTGGCTCAGATTACATTACTATTGATCACTACTGATTACATCATATTACATGTAACTAGTATTTTTAACGGATTACATTTTTTAAGTAACCCTCCCAACCCTGATAATAAAGCGTCCAAAGGATGTTAAAAACCCTGAGGTCTGTGCCTTCAGAAATCCTTAGCATTCATCTGTTCGTATCTCACATATCTATTATTACAATAAGCAGAATATTATTTTACTCTACAGTATATAATTTGACATCTATTTTTAGCTGATCTTATTCTATTTTGCTTGTATATAGTTCAATTTTCCTGCATTACTTGCACATTGGTCTGTCAACATTCCCTTGCACTATTTTAATAGTTTTTTGTCTTATATATTTGTGTTGCATTGTTGGAGAAGCCTGGGACTTCAGATTTTCATTTCATAACTACTATAGCTTTGCATATGATGATTAAACCGTTGAACTTTGAACTTAGATGTATTTGGCATACCTTTTCTCTGTGTGTCTGCAGGCTCAGCATCCGAGCGTTCACTCAGCTGTTTGATGACCAGCAGAGAGCCTCTCCTCTGTACAGCGACACCTACTTGTCGCTACCCGTTGTCACCGAGGCCGGTCCGCTGCCCGTCAGACATTAACGTCTTCATTTAAACCAAACAGTTTCAGATGTCCACAAATAAAAACGTTGTGTATCCTCCCTCAGAGCCTCTGAGCGGCGTGATTGAGGGTGTCAGTGCCGGCATGTTCCTTGTCGTCATGATGGTGGGGGTCACCGTTCTGCTGGTTTGCAGACAAAAGAGTCGCAAAGTGTAAGTATCTATGACTTAAAGTCGTGGTTACACAACATACCTCCTCACTAACTCTGTTTATCACTGTGCTGCCTCTGCTGGACTGTAACACACCTCCTCACTAACACTGTTTATCACTGTGCTGCCATCTGCTGGATTTTTAACACACCTCCTCACTAACACTGTTTATCACTGTGCTGCCTCTGCTGGACTGTAACACACCTCACTAACACTGTTTATCACTGTGCTGCCCTCTGCTGGATTGTAACACACCTCACTAACACTGTTTATCACTGTTCTGCCTCTGCTGGACTGTAACACACCTCACTAACACTGTTTATCACTGTGCTGCCCTCTGCTGGACTGTAACACACCTCACTAACACTGTTTATCACTGTGCTGCCCTCTGCTGGACTGTAACACACCTCACTAACACTGTTTATCACTGTGCTGCCATCTGCTGGACTGTAACACACCTCACTAACACTGTTTATCACTGTGCTGCCCTCTGCTGGACTGTAACACACCTCACTAATACTGTTTATCACTGTGCTGCCTTCTGCTGGACTGTAATGGCGCGTTTCCACTACAGCGCGGAGCACGGTTTAAGAGGGCTGTGAGGTCAGCGGCCCGTTTTTGGTTGCGTTTCCTCTTGGCCTAGTACCGGCCGGCGGGTCCTAATTCACAGTTTTTCTGGCCTCATAAAATCGTGGGTCTAGGGCCAGAGACAACGAGGCTGAGTATGCTAAACTAGAGAGATAATCGCTGGCCAGGGGGCTACAACTACAACAAGATGGACATATTTTACCGTGATTTAATTGTAATACACGTTTCAAAATGATGCCGAAGTAACAACATACTGATACCGGTTAGTAAAAACCATGAATTAATGCTTTGACAAGTCTGCAGACAGACGGCAGGCGAAAAACCTTTTAAAATGCGTGTTTTCTAAATGGAGATTGGCTAAGCTAACGCAGTATATGCTCCGACCGTCCACACTCGCAACAACGGCCTATACAGACATAAATAAAGCAGCGACTGTATTCTCCATGACACAGACAGTCTGTGGTTTGTACTTGTTTAACTTTTGTCTAGTTTCTGAACAGATATGAGGAGCTGTGAGCTCTGAGTGCTAACAGCTAACGGCTGTGTTGTTTTTCTGGGGTTCTCATTGAAGATGACGTCACTGCTCCGCCTACACTGCGTTACTATAGATACTACCCCAGTTCCTAAACTGTAATGGAAATGCGCCATAAAGTGAGCCAGTCCTAACGAGGCCTAGCCATACCGACCGAGGCCGAGCTAGGCCGTGTAGTGGAAATGCGCCATAACACACCTCCTCACTAACTCTGTTTATCACTGTGCTGCCTCTGCTGGACTGTAACACACTTCCTCACTACCACTATGATAAAGCTTTATGTATTCATGAATCGGGTCCGGATCTTTATGTCTTTCCATCATGGCTTACTTGTTAGTTGTGTGCGGACAAGTGGTTCTGAGGTTCTGATTGGACGACAGCGCAGGTGATGAATAACGATAACTTGTGTGTTTCAGAGTTCAGGAGAGAACGGCGGTCAGGATGAGTGTGAGGAGGGAGGGCCCAACATCAGGCCTCCATCAGGGAGTCAGAGGGTACAATACTGCATAAAATACTGCATTCTGTACTGTAATACTACTGCTGATAATACTGCATGTTGTACTGTAGGCGAGAGGTTTTTTGTTACAGCAGTTTTATTTTGACTAATACTTTACCCTGTTTCAGTCCTATAAAGGTCCTGAGCTTTGAGAGCCAATTCCACAAACTGCAGGCCGACTCCAACTACCTGCTGTCAGAGGAGTACGAGGTCCGTTCATATTCCCTCCTATAACCTGTTACCTTCCTATAACCGTTACCCTCCTGTAACCCGTTACCCTCCTGTAACCCGTTACCCTCCTATAACCCGCTACCCTCCTATAAACCGTTACACTCCTGTAACCTGTTACCTTCTTCTAACCCGTTACCTTCCTGTAACCCGTTACCTTCCTGTAACCTGTTACCCTCCTGTAACCCGTTACCTTCCTGTAACCTGTTACCCTCCTGTAACCTGTTACCTTCCTGTAACCTGTTACCTTCCTGTAACCCGTTACCTTCCTGTAACCTGTTACCTTCCTGTAACCCGTTACCTTCCTGTAACCTGTTACCCTCCTATAACCCGCTACCCTCCTATAAACCGTTACCCTCCTGTAACCTGTTACCTTCTTCTAACCTGTTACCTTCCTGTAACCCGTTACCTTCCTGTAACCTGTTACCCTCCTGTAACCTGTTACCTTCCTGTAACCTGTTACCTTCCTGTAACCCGTTACCTTCCTGTAACCTGTTACCCTCCTGTAACCTGTTACCTTCCTGTAACCTGTTACCTTCCTGTAACCCGTTACCTTCCTGTAACCTGTTACCTTCCTGTAACCTGTTACCTTCCTGTAACCCGTTACCTTCCTGTAACCTGTTACCTTCCTGTAACCCGTTACCTTCCTGTAACCCGTTACCTTCCTGTAACCCGTTACCTTCCTGTAACCTGTTACCTTCCTGTAACCCGTTACCTTCCTGTAACCTGTTACCCTCCTATAACCCGCTACCCTCCTATAAACCGTTACCCTCCTGTAACCTGTTACCTTCTTCTAACCTGTTACCTTCCTGTAACCCGTTACCTTCCTGTAACCTGTTACCCTCCTGTAACCCACACACAACACACATGTAGATATATGATTACTTACATATCACACACTGCTCTACTGAGGTCTCAGTACATGTGTGAAGCTCCCTCCTGTTAAATTCTGCTGTTGTTGTGGTTTTGTGTTGTTGTTATTGTTGTTTTATTGTTGTTGTTATTGTTGTTTTATTGTTGTGTTATTGTTGTGTTATTGTGTTGTTGTTCATGTCAGGAGCTGAAGGACATCGGCCGTAATCAGACCCTCGACTCAGCTCTGCTGCCGGAAAACCGCGGGAAGAACCGGTACAACAACATTCTGCCCTGTGAGTGACACACACACACACACACACACACACACACACACACACACACACACACACACACACACTCACACACACACACACACACACACACACACACACACACACACACACACACACACACACACACACACACACACACACACACTCTCACACACACACACACACACACACACACACACACACACACACACACACACACACACACACACTCTCTTTATCTTCGTTACATTTAACAAACTAACAGTTTGTCTCTGTGTGAGCGGAGCGCCATCAGGAGTATTTGCAGTGAAACCTGAAGCTAAATGAAGCGAACAAAAAAGGAACACTTTTCAATCAGAGTATAGCATCAAGTTAATTAAACTGATATTGATCGAGTCAGTTATGTTGCAGAGGGGTTGTTAATCAGCTGTTTTGGTGTTAATGAAATTAACAACAGGTGCACTAGTGGGGCAATCTTTCCCTTCCTCACCTTTTCTGACTGTGTTTCACTAGTTTTGCATTTGGCAAGGGTCAGTGTCACTACTGGTAGCATGAGGCGGTACCTGGACCCTACAGAGGTTGCACAGGCAGTCCAAGTCCTCCAGGATGGCACATCAAAACGTGCCAGGGCCCTAAGGTTTGCTGTGTCTCCCAGCACGGTCTCAATAGCATGGAGGAGATTTCAGGAGACAGGCAGGTACTCTAGGAGCCATCAGGTATTGGGATGAAATCCTTGGACCCATTATCAGACCTTATGATGGTGCAGTGGCACGACAACGCCCGGCCTCATGTTGCGAGAGTATGCAGGCAGCTCCTGGAGGATGACGGTATTGATACCAATAGCCGCGTTCACACCGGAGTACTTTTCCCCGTACTTTTCGCGTTTAGTTCCGTTAGTACCCCTTATGTCGCGTTCACACCAAAAAGAGCACTTCATCTCAGGAACTTTTACCCCCATGTTTAGTGCCTGCTGAGAGATGGTACTTTCCTGGGGGAAAAATGTGCCCCAGTTCTGATTGGCTGGGCGAATTGCAAACCACGCCCCGTAAAACTCTGAAATGTTTTGTAGAGCCGCCATTTTATTATCCTCGCATTAGCATTATTAGCATTAGCATTCGCCCAGCGCACAAACACAGAGAGACTAACTTATGGCAACACAAAATAAAACATGGGAGCGGTGGAGATGAGGAGGTGTCGGCGTTCTGGCGATTTACTCTGAAGGCTTCAGTAGAAGCTGCTGGGAGTCCCAGCAGCTTCTACTGAAGCCTTCCCCAACTCCAGGGGACTTCCGTCCGGGGACTTCGGGTGGCAGTATACGCCGTGAAGTGGTTTGCGGCCTGCCAGTAAACCCAAAGCAGAAGAAGAAGAAGTGACGTCAGCGGCTCATTTGCGTAATCTTCCCTCAGGGAACTTATTCCGGTGTGAACGCGATCTGTACTAAGTGCCCTGGGGGTAATAAGTGCCGGGGCACTGAGTGCCGGCACTAAGTACGGCAAAGTACTTGGTGTGAACGCGGCTATTGACTGGCCCCCACGCTCCCCCGGCCTAAATCCAATAGAAACCTCTGGGACAGGTTGCACCTCAGACTGTCCAGGAGCTCAGTGATGCCCTGGTCCAGATCTGGGAGGAGATGCCCCAGGACACCATTCGTCGTCTCATTAGGAGCACGTGGGGGTAATACACAGTACTGGGTACCATTTTGAGTGGGAAAAAATGGACCAGTCTGCCGCATCATTTTTCCACTTTTTCATTTTCGGGTGTCTTTGAATTCAGCCCTCTGTAAGTTGATCATTTTAATTTCCAACAAACGATGTGGCGTCCTTTCATTCACAACACGTTACTCAGTCCATATCAGTATTATGTTATAATATGTTTTATGTTTTAATGTCTGTCCACACTGGGCTGATCAGTAGCTGTTATTTGTGAAGTAATCAGATGACTTCTCCTCAGATGATTCCACCCGGGTGAAGCTGTCCTGTGTCGACGATGATCCGAGTTCTGACTACATCAACGCCAGCTACATGCCGGTGTGTGTGTGTGTGTGTGTGTGTGTGTGTGTGTGTGTATACATGAAGGTTAATGTGCATCTGTATATGTCAATGTAAATGTGTGTGTGTGTGTGTGTGTGTGTGTGTGTGTGTGTGTGTGTGTGTGTGTGTGTGTGTGTGTGTGTGTGTGTGTGTGTGTATACATGAAGGTTAATGCGCGTCTGTATATGTCAATGTAAATGTGTGTGTGTGTGTCTATACATGAAGGTTAATGTGCATGTGTATATATCAATGTAAATGTGTGTTTCTATTTGTGTGTGTGTATATATGAATGTGTGTGTAGGGTAATAACTCTCGGCGGGAGTACGTGGCGGCTCAGGGGCCGCTGCCGGGGACGAAGGACGACTTCTGGAGGATGGTGTGGGAACAGAACGTGTCCAACATGGTGATGGTGACGCAGTGCGTGGAGAAGGGAAGGGTGAGTGTGACAGTGTGTGTGTGTGACAGTGTGTGTGTGTGTGTTGTTCCTGACCTGAGCTCCTCACCTGTGCAGGTGAAGTGTGATCATTACTGGCCCCTGGACCAGGACCCGCTGTATTACGGGGATCTGATCGTTAGGATGCTGTCGGAGTCCGTGCTGCCAGAGTGGACCATCAGGGAGTTCAACATGTGCAGTGTACGTACACACACACACACACACACACACACACACACACACACACACACACACACACACTATCATCAACATGTAGACCATTACATTACATTACATTACATGTCACTTGTTAGACGCTTTTATCCAAAGCGACTTACATACTCAATACTGTGGGCAATCCCCACAGGAGCACTTTGGGGTGAAGTGTCTCAGGGACACAACGACATGCTGACTGCAGTGGGACTCGAACTTGCTATCCTCTGATTCGAAGATCAGCGCACTAACCCACTGCGCCACACGCCCCCCTATGACCATAGTGTGTTTGTGTGTTTATTTTTTTGTTTGCCCCCATCCCTGGTCTACATTATGATGATGGTCTACATGATGATGGTGGTCTACATGATGATGGTGGTCTACATGATGATGGTGGTCTACATGATGATGATGGTCTACATGTTAATGATGGTCTACATGATGATGATGGTCTACATGATGATGATGGTCTACATGATGATGATGGTCTACATGTTGATGATGGTCTACATGATGATGGTGGTCTACATGTTGATGATGGTCTACATCTTGATGATGGTCTACATGTTGATGATGGTGGTCTACATGATGATGGTGGTCTACATGTCGAAGATGGTCTACATGTTGATGATGGTCTACATGATGATGGTGGTCTACATGTTGATGATGGTGGTCTACATGATGATGGTCTACATGATGATGTTCTAAATGTTGATGATGGTCTACATGTTGATGTGGATTCAGGAGGATCAGGTCTCGAGGCTGGTCCGCCAGTTCCATTACACCGTGTGGCCGGATCACGGAGTCCCAGAAACCACGCAGTCCCTGATCCAGTTTGTGCGCACAGTGCGGGACTACGTGAACCGGAGTCCTGGATCAGGACCCACCGTGGTCCACTGCAGGTACTACGGCCACACATAGACCCCCTTCACATGGTGTTCTTCATGAAGTCCCTCTTATATGTTTTTTAATAGAGAGAGTATAATGGCTTCACTTCAGTAATAATAACACGCTATTTTATCATAAGGATTTAACCTGTTAAGCCCCAAGCCTGTTTTTCAGGTCTCAGGCTCGAAAATGACATTTCCAGAACAAAAGACCATAACTACACTTCTAAGGGTGCATTCACACCTAATAGTCCGCTTCTCAGGTACGCACCAGACCACAGTTTGTTATATTGTTTCATTTTTTAGAAGGTTCGGTTTGCGTTCACACGGGCAAAACTCAAACGGACTATAAACTTTAAACACAAGTCATGTGCTCGGAAATGCTGTTCAACCATTGGTCAGACATTAAGGGGGTAAAAACGCAAATCCCGGCAATTTCTACTGGAGCCTCCGCCATGGAGCATCGGCACTTTCGGCAGGTTATTCTAATGCTGCTGTTAATCTGGAGATCAACAGACACTAGCGGCCCGCGCATATGATTATATAATCAGACAACGTCTGTTAAAAAACATTATAACACATATAATGAGAGACGTTCTGCAGTCAGGAGGGCGTTTCACCGACGACAGGTGGCTCTGACTTTTATGTAGTTGACGGAGCGTTTTTACTTTACACGACACTGTTCAACACTTCATTCTGCTTCACTCTTTAACTAAACAACCGCGGATGTCTTGAAAGACTCTTTCGCTAAAGACTTTGAAGACATCCGCGTTCTTGTGACTCGTAAATACTACGCTTCCTATGGTTTTGGTGCGGACTGCGTTCACACCAGCGATGAACCGCTCCAGAGTTCGCAAGCAAGCGGTCCGAGACCACCTATTTTAGCGGACCAGAGTCCGGTTGTTTAGTTCACTTCAGAGGTCTCGGACTGCGTTCACACCGACCCAAATGAACCGTACCAAGCGGCTAAACGCACCAGGGTTCGATTCAACCGGACTATAAAAGGCTGGTGTGAATGCACCCTAAAAGGGGAAAATTAATAATCTTTTTCTCAAAGTAATGATAAACCTGTGAGTTGGATGTAGAAAAGTCAGAATCAATATAGATGTTTTTTATTTTAAAGAAAATTCAGATAGAACATAGTAAAAAACTCTAAATTATAATGTCCATCAAAAAAATTCTTTTTTACTCATAGTGAAAACTACCCTTGGATGATGGTAAGGTAGACTAAAAGCTTTAGGAATCATCAGTTAGCTGAGTTTCTTCCCGTTACATGGATATGAAACATTCATAGTTTATTAAATATTAAGAAGCCCTCAGACGCTGTTTCCTGCAGATGATGCGATTTCCCCCCGCCGGCGGGGGGATGGGGTTTAGCAGGTTTTAACACGCTGCATGTACAACACGTTGGGCTACTGAAGTCTCTAGTACTAGAGACTTCAAAATGACCCGGATACAGATTCAGTTCATTTTGAGGTTTCAAGTAATAATAATAATGATACATTCTATTTATAAAGGCGCCTTTCAAGGCTCTCAAGCCAAGTATGAGCAAGTTCAAATTGCATGAAACAGCAGCAAGAGATTTTAAATGCAACTAACATTTGTGTGTGTGTGTGTGTGTGTGTGTGTGTGTGTGTGTGTGTGTGTGTGTGTGTGTGTGTGTGTGTGTGTGTGTGTGTGTGTGTGTGTGTGTGTGTGTGTGTGTGTGTGTGTGTACAGTGCTGGTGTGGGCCGTACAGGGACCTTCATGGTTCTGGATCAGGTTCTGCAGCAGCTGGACTGCAGAGACTCTGTGGACCTGTTCGGCTCTGTGCGGCAGCTCAGACTGCACCGCTGTCACATGGTGCAGACGGAGGTGAGCCGGGCAATCTGGGAGATGTAGTTCCTCCACCTCTTCAGAGTTAATGTAGTTCCTCCACCTCTTCAGAGTTAATGTAGTTCCTCCACCTCCTCAGAGTTAATGTAGTTCCTCCACTTCCTCAGAGTTAATGTAGTTCCTCCACCTCCTCAGAGTTAATGTAGTTCCTCCACCTCTTCAGAGTTAATGTAGTTCCTCCACCTCCTCAGAGTTAATGCAGTTCCTCCACCTCCTCAGAGTTAATGCAGTTCCTCCACCTCCTCAGAGTTAATGTAGTTCCTCCACCTCCTTATAGTTAATGTAGTTCCTCCACCTCCTCAGAGTTAATGTAGTTCCTCCACCTCCTTATAGTTAATGTAGTTCCTCCACCTTCTCAGAGTTAATGTAGTTCCTCCACCTCCTCAGAGTTAATGTAGTTCCTCCACCTCCTCAGAGTTAATGTAGTTCCTCCACCTCCTCAGAGTTAATGTAGTTCCTCCACCTCCTCAGAGTTAATGTAGTTCCTCCACCTCCTCAGAGTTAATGCAGTTCCTCCACCTCCTCAGAGTTAATGCAGTTCCTCCACCTCCTCAGAGTTAATGCAGTTCCTCCACCTCCTCAGAGTTAATGCAGTTCCTCCACCTTCTCAGAGTTAATGCAGTTCCTCCACCTCCTCAGAGTTAATGCAGTTCCTCCACCTTCTCAGAGTTAATGCAGTTCCTCCACCTCCTCAGAGTTAATGCAGTTCCTCCACCTCCTCAGAGTTAATGCAGTTCCTCCACCTCCTCAGAGTTAATGCAGTTCCTATCCACCTCCTCAGAGTTAATGCAGTTCCTCCACCTCCTCAGAGTTAATGTAGTTCCTCCACCTCCTCAGAGTTAATGTAGTTCCTCCACCTCCTCAGAGTTAATATAGTTCATCCACTTCCTCAGAGTTAATGTAGTTCCTCCACCCACTCAGAGTTAATGTAGTTCCTCCACCCCCTTATAGTTAATGTGGTTTCTCCTCCACCTCCTCAGGGTCAGTATCTGTACCTCCATCAGTGTGTCCGTGACGTTCTCAGAGCCAGGAAGCTCCGCTGCGACCAGGAGAACCTCCAGCCGCTCTATGATCATTTGAACTACAACTCCCAAAGAGGTCAGAACTACACCTGCAGCTCATTAATATCAAACTACACCTGCAGCTCATTCATAACAAACTACAACCTGCAGCTCATGATATCAACTTACAAACCTCAGCTCATTAATATCAAACTACACTGAGCTCCATTAATAATCAAACTACACCTGCAGCTCATTAATATCAAACTACACCTGCAGCTCATTAATATCAAACTACACCTGCAGCTCATTCATAACAAACTACACCTGCAGCTCATTAATATCAAACTACACCTGCAGCTCATTAATATCAAACTACACCTGTAGCTCATTAATATCAAACTACACCTGCAGCTCATTATATCAACTACACCTGCAGCTCATTAATATCAAACTACACCTTCAGCTCATTAATATCAAACTACACCTGCAGCTCATTAATATCAAACTACACCTGTAGCTCATTAATTATCAAAACTACACCTGTAGCTCATTAATATCAAACTACACCTTAGCTCATTAATATCAAACTACACCTGTAGCTCATTAGATATCAAACTACACCTGTAGCTCATTAATATCAACTACACCTGTAGCTCATTAATATCAAATTCTACACCTGTAGCTCATTAATATCAAACTACACCTACAGCTCATTAAATCAAAACTACACCTGTAGCTCATTAATCAAACTACACCTGTAGCTCATTAATATCAAACTACACCTGTAGCTCATTAATATCAAACTACACCTGTAGCTCATTAATATCAAACTACACCTGTAGCTCATTAATATCAAACTACCTACACCTGTAGGCTCATTAATATCAAACTACACCTGTAGCTCATTAATATCAAACTACACCTGTAGCTCATTAATATCAAACTACACCTGTAGCTCATTAATATCAAACTACACCTGCAGCTCATTAATATCAAACTACACCTGTAGCTCATTAATATCAAACTACACCTACAGCTCATTAATATCAAACTACACCTGTAGCTCATTAATATCAAACTACACCTGTAGCTCATTAATATCAAACTACACCTAAGCTAATCAAACCTGTAGCTCATTAATATCAAACTACACCTGCAGCTCATTAATATCAAACTACACCTGTAGCTCATTAATATCAAACTACACCTGTAGCTCATTAATATCAAACTACACCTGTAGCTCATTAATATCAAACTACACCTGTAGCTCATTAATATCAAACTACACCTACAGCTCATTAATATCAAACTACACCTGTAGCTCATTAATATCAAACTACACCTGCAGCTCATTAATATCAAACTACACCTGTAGCTCATTAATATCAAACTACACCTGTAGCTCATTAATATCAAACTACACCTGCAGCTCATTAATATCAAACTACACCTACAGCTCATTAATATCAAACTACACCTGTAGCTCATTAATATCAAACTACACCTGTAGCTCATTAATATCAAACTACACCTGTAGCTCATTAATATCAAACTACACCTGTAGCTCATTAATATCAAACTACACCTGTAGCTCATTAATATCAAACTACACCTGTAGCTCATTAATATCAAACTACACCTGTAAGCTCATTAATATCAAACTACACCTGTAGCTCATTAATATCAAACTACACCTGTAGCTCATTAATATCAAACTACACCTGTAGCTCATTAATATCAAACTACACCTGTAGCTCATTAATATCAAACTACACCTGTAGCTCATTAATATCAAACTACACCTGCAGCTCATTAATATCAAACTACACCTGTAGCTCATTAATATCAAACTACACCTGTAGCTCATTAATATCAAACTACACCTGTAGCTCATTAATATCAAACTACACCTGTAGCTCATTAATATCAAACTACACCTACAGCTCATTAATATCAAACTACACCTACAGCTCATTAATATCAAACTACACCTGTAGCTCATTAATATCAAACTACACCTACAGCTCATTAATATCAAACTACACCTACAGCTCATTAATATCAAACTACACCTGTAGCTCATTAATATCAAACTACACCTACAGCTCATTAATATCAAACTACACCTACAGCTCATTAATATCAAACTACACCTGTAGCTCATTAATATCAAACTACACCTACAGCTCATTAATATCAAACTACACCTGTAGCTCATTAATATCAAACTACACCTGTAGCTCATTAATATCAAACTACACCTACAGCTCATTAATATCAAACTACACCTACAGCTCATTAATATCAAACTACACCTGTAGCTCATTAATATCAAACTACACCTACAGCTCATTAATATCAAACTACACCTGTAGCTCATTAATATCAAACTACACCTGTAGCTCATTAATATCAAACTACACCTGTAGCTCATTAATATCAAACTACACCTACAGCTCATTAATATCAAAACTACACTGTACAGCTCATTAATATCAAACTACACCTGTAGCTCATTAATATCAAACTACACCTACAGCTCATTAATATCAAACTACACCTGTAGCTCATTAATATCAAACTACACCTGTAGCTCATTAATATCAAACTACACCTACAGCTCATTAATATCAAACTACACCTGTAGCTCATTAATATCAAACTACACCTGTAGCTCATTAATATCAAACTACACCTACAGCTCATTAATATCAAACTACACCTACAGCTCATTAATATCAAACTACACCTGTAGCTCATTAATATCAACTACAACCTACAGCTCATTAATATCAAACTACACCTGTAGCTCATTAATATCAAACTACACCTGTAGCTCATTAATATCAAACTACACCTGTAGCTCATTAATATCAAACTACACCTGTAGCTCATTAATATCAAACTACACCTGTAGCTCATTAATATCAAACTACACTGTAGCTCATTATACTACACCTGTAGCTCATTAATATCAAACTACACCTACAGCTCATTAATATCAAACTACAACCTGTAGCTCATTAATATCAAACTACACCTAGTAGCTCATTAATATCAAACTACACCTGTAGCTCATTAATATCAAACTACACCTGTAGCTCATTAATATCAACTACTACACCTGTAGCTCATTAATATCAAACTACACCTGTAGCTCATTATTATCAAACTACACCATAACCCCTAGCTCATTAATATCAAACTACACCTGCAGCTCATTAATATCAAACTACACCTTTAAGCTCATTAATATCAAACTACACCTGTAGCTCATTAATATCAAAACTACACCTACAGCTCATTAATATCAAAACTACACATGTAGCTCATTAATATCAAACTACACCTACAGCTCCATTAATAATCAAACTACACCTGTAGCTCATTAATATCAAACTACACCTGTAGCTCATTAATATCAAACTACACCTGTAGCTCATTAATATCAAAACTACACCTGTAGCTCATTAATTATCAACTACACCCTAAAGCTCATTATATCAAACTACACCTGCAGCTCATTAATATCAACTACACCTGTAGCTCATTAATATCAAAACTACACCTACAGCTCATTAATATCAAACTACACCTGTAGCTCATTAATATCAAAACTACACCTGTAGCTCATTAATATCCAAAACTACACCTGTAGCTCATTAAATCAAACTACACCTGTAGCTCATTAATATCAAACTACACTAAGCTCATAATATCAAACTACACCTGTAGCTCATTAATATCAAACTACACCTGCAGCTCATTAATATCAAACTACACCTGCAGCTCATTAATATCAAACTACACCTGCAGCTCATTAATATCAAACTACACCTGTAGCTCATTAATATCAAACTACACCTGCAGCTCATTAATATCAAACTACACCTACAGCTCATTAATATCAAACTACACCTACAGCTCATTAATATCAAACTACACCTGCAGCTCATTAATATCAAACTACACCTGTAGCTCATTAATATCAAACTACACCTGTAGCTCATTAATATCAAACTACACCTACAGCTCATTAATATCAAACTACACCTGTAGCTCATTAATATCAAACTACACCTGTAGCTCATTAATATCAAACTACACCTGTAGCTCATTAATATCAAACTACACCTGTAGCTCATTAATATCAAACTACACCTATAGCTCATTAATATCAAACTACACCTGCAGCTCATAATATCAACACTACACCTGTAGCTCATTAATATCAAACTACACCTGTAGCTCATTAATATCAAAACTACACCTGTCAGCTCATTAATATCAAACTACACCTGTAGCTCATTACTATCAAACTACACATGTAGCTCATAATATCAAACTACACCTGCAGCTCATTAATATCAAACTACACCTGTAGCTCATTAATATCAAAACTACACCTGTAGCTCATTAATATCAAACTACACCTGCCAGCTCATTAATATCAACTACACCTGTAGCTCATTAATATCAAACTACACCTGCAGCTCATTAATATCAAAACTACACCTGCAGCTCATTAATATCAAAACTACACCGTAAGCTCATTAATATCAAACTACACCTAAGCTCATTAATATCAAACTACACCTGTAGCTCATTAATATCAAACTACACCTGCAGCTCATTAATATCAAACTACACCTGTAAGCTCATTAATATCAAACTACACCGTAGCTCATTAATATCAAAACTACACCTACAGCTCATTAATATCAAACTACACCTGTAGCTCATTAATATCAAACTACACCTGTAGCTCATTAATATCAAACTACACCTACAGCTCATTAATATCAAACTACACCTGTAGCTCATTAATATCAAACTACACCTGTAGCTCATTAATATCAAACTACACCTACAGCTCATTAAATCAAAACACACTACAGCTCATTAATATCCAAACTACACCTACAGCTCATTAATATCAAACTACACCTACAGCTCATTAATATCAAACTACACCTACAGCTCATTAATATCAAACTACACCTGCAGCTCATTAATATCAAACTACACCTACAGCTCATTAATATCAAACTACACCTACAGCTCATTAATATCAAACTACACCTGTAGCTCATTAATATCAAACTACACCTGTAGCTCATTAATATCAAACTACACCTACAGCTCATTAATATCAAACTACACCTACAGCTCATTAATATCAAACTACACCTACAGCTCATTAATATCAAACTACACCTACAGCTCATTAATATCAAACTACACCTGTAGCTCATTAATATCAAACTACACCTGCAGCTCATTAATATCAAACTACACCTGTAGCTCATTAATATCAAACTACACCTGTAAGCTCATTAATATCAAACTACACCTACAGCTCATTAATATCAAACTACACCTGCAGCTCATTAATATCAAACTACACCTGTAGCTCATTAATATCAAACTACACCTACAGCTCATTAATATCAAACTACACCTGTAGCTCATTAATATCAAACTACACCTACAGCTCATTAATATCAAACTACACCTACAGCTCATTAATATCAAACTACACCTACAGCTCATTAATATCAAACTACACCTACAGCTCATTAATATCAAACTACACCTGTAGCTCATTAATATCAAACTACACCTACAGCTCATTAATATCAAACTACACCTGTAGCTCATTAATATCAAACTACACCTACAGCTCATTAATATCAAACTACACCTGCAGCTCATTAATATCAAACTACACCTGTAGCTCATTAATATCAAACTACACCTACAGCTCATTAATATCAAACTACACCTGTAGCTCATTAATATCAAACTACACCCTGTAGCTCATTAATATCAAACTACACCTGTAGCTCATTAATATCAAACTACACCTGTAGCTCATTAATATCAAACTACACCTGTAGCTCATTAATATCAAACTACACCTGTAGCTCATTAATATCAAACTACACCTGCAGCTCATTAATATCAAACTACACCTGTTAGCTCATTAATATCAAACTACACCTACTAGCTCATTAATATCAAACTACCACCTGTAAGCTCATAATATCAAACTACACCTGTAGCTCATTAATATCAAAACTACACCTACAGCTCATTAATATCAAACTACACCTACAGCTCATTAATATCAAAACTACACCTGTAGCTCATTAATATCAAACTACACCTACAGCTCATTAATATCAAACTACACACCTTGTAGCTCATTAATATCAAACTACACCTGTAGCTCATTAATATCAAACTACACCTGTAGCTCATTAATATCAAACTACACCTGTAGCTCATTAATATCAAACTACACCTGCAGCTCATTAATATCAAACTACACCTGCAGCTCATTAATATCAAACTACACCTACAGCTCATTAATATCAACACTACACCTACAGCTCATTAATATTCAAACTACACCTAAAGCTCATTAATATCAAACTACACCTACAGCTCATTAATATCAAACTACACCTGTAGCTCATTAATATCAAACTACACCTGCAGCTCATTAATATCAAACTACACCTGTAGCTCATTAATATCAAACTACACCTGTAGCTCATTATTATCAAACTACACCTACAGCTCATTAATATCAAACTACACCTGCAGCTCATTAATATCAAACTACACCTGTAGCTCATTAATATCAAACTACACCTACAGCTCATTAATATCAAACTACACCTGTAGCTCATTAATATCAAACTACACCTACAGCTCATTAATATCAAACTACACCTGCAGCTCATTAATATCAAACTACACCTACAGCTCATTAATATCAAACTACACCTGTAGCTCATTAATATCAAACTACACCTACAGCTCATTAATATCAAACTACACCTGCAGCTCATTATACTTATATTTATAAGGGTATTTGAATGATAATAATGATATATTTAAACTCCTCCACAGAGACGCTGTTCAGCAGACGCTAACCTCTCCACCCGAACGCCACTTTATTTTTTTATCAAAGTTTATATTTGAGATGTTTCCGAACAGAGGAAACGTTATAATATATATACAGATAATGTAAAGTACATACACTTCATATCCATTTGAAGTTGTATATATATATATATATTCCTTCACTGTTTAAATTATGCGTCTGATTTTCATGCTTTATTTGGCATTGTTGTCTGAACTCTGTGATGCTGCAGTTTCGTGTTGATAAGAATTATAAATATATATAAACTACATGTCATCAGGAGAAAGGTCACTTTATATTATGTATGGAATCAGCTTTGTGTCATAAAAGATCAAACAACACTTTCTCAGAATCAAGCAAATATAAGAGTTTAAGAAAACAATAAACTGAGTCAAGCAAAATAAATGTAAAATCAAAAATAAAGCTATAAGTTGCAAACAAATGATTTGTGTAATCGTGTAAACTATTGGTCTTTATTCTGTTTTATAACACATATCTTTGTTTGCAGTTCTCTTTGCTTCTTTCTCAATGATCAGGCTTTTGCTGTACAATCTGTGGTGTACTGGGCTGTCACTCAAACACTGAGTAGCCAATGGGGACGCAGCCCTGAAAGGCCCTCCCACCCGAGAGTGGGCATGATGTATTTTTAACATCCTGCGTATTAATGAAAAACCACAGAAGAAGTAAAATATGTTTTCATCACATATTATTTACCACATATCTGCTTACCGAATCCACGGGTACAAAATACCTGAAGCTAAGAGGGTTAATACGATGTTGACAACACTGTCCTCATGTGACGGGAGCATATCCCAAAACATAGACGATGCTGGTCAAATATATGAAGAATCATTCGTCCTGAAACAATTCATAATTATCTTTATAGTAAAATATGTAAAAGGTAAATTGTGAATAATTTATAAGTACAAAATCTAATTTGATCATTATATATATATTACATTTATAAAATGTATATTTACTGTTTATAGTATATTGTAGTGATCACTGATTCATACACTGGGGTTACATATTCAATCCAGGAACTACAGGTTGGGGGTATTGTTTCCGCATGGACAGATATGTTGACGGTACCTCCGGGGTACCTACTGTGTGTTGTCCCTTACACTTTCTCTTGTCATCTCAGCCTGCGACCCGACAGCATGTCGATTTCTGCTCCTCAATAAACTGAGATTTGCACCTTCGATGCACCGCCTCCGACTCTCTTCTCTCGGCACTACATTGGTGACCCTGACATAAGTCTCGCGAAGGATCCGAGACTGAATCGAACACGGCAAAAAGCGCAGCTTTTCTCGAAATGCCGGGGATTTTTGGAGACCTCCGCCTCGTGCGCTTGGACTGTGGCTCGGTGCGCCCCACGGAATGGACGCGGACGACGCTCGCCATTTCCACGGCTTTTCGGCTCTGGGGGACGGCAAGCCTTCCATGGGGCCGGTACGCGACCGTGCCGGGTTTGTTCGGGACATGCGGCTGCATGTCCGGCCAGCGACTAACGGCCGCCGAGACCAGCTAGCCACGACTGCTAACGGCTAGCAGCTGGCAACAGCTAACAACGGCTAGCCACAGCAGCTAGCGGCTGACATCCGACTGTTTTTTTATTTATTTTTTTGTTTTTTGTGGTGCCGGAGAGGAGGTTCGATCAAGTCTGGTCGGCCTCGCGTGGATCCTCTCGCTATTTCGCCCACCTGTTTTTATTCGTGGACGGGACGACCATTTTTGAGCTTTTCCTGGTGCCTGAGAGGAGGTTCGACCATGTCTGGTCGGCCTCGTGTGGACCCTCTCGCTGTTTCACCACCTCGACGGCGGCTTCGGACGTCACACGCCTGCTTCGGCCCGTGGGTGACGCGCTTCTGGACCCCGTCTCGCCTCTTCCCTCGCCTCGGCGGTTTCGAACGTCGCCCGTGCCTTCATCGGCCTGCGGGTGGCGCGCTTCGGGACCCTGCCTGGCCTCACCTCTAACCGCGGCTCACGGTTCGCCTCGACGCCGCCCCGTCTGGCCTCTCCCCTGTCCACGGCTCCCTCCTCCCGGGGACATGGCTCCTTCCTCCCGAGGACTTCGTGCCCGCCGCCACTGTGCCTTCGCCTGCGGCCGGGCGGCGCTCCTCCCTGCTGGGGACCTCCGGGTGTTTCACGCCTGTCCCCACGACGCGACCCTGCTTTCTGCGGCCCTCTGACGACGGCCCGTTCCGGCCCCACCCACCCTCCGGTGGGAATGCCCTCGCCCTCGTTGGGGCCCCTACCCTCTCCTGCGGCCCCCTTCCGACGGCCCGTTCCATGGCCCGGCCCTCGCCGGCGGCCCCGCCCTCCTCGGCCCCTGTGGTGCTTCCTCCCGGACGCGAGGATTGTGTCCATGGTTGAATTCTGGGGGGGCTTGTGTAGTGATCACTGATTCATACACTGGGGTTACATAATTCAATCCAGGAACTACAGGTTGGGGGTATTGTTTCCGCACGGACAGATATGTTGACGGTACCTCCGGGGTACCTACTGTGTGTTGTCCCTTACACTTTCTCTTGTCATCTCAGCCTGCGACCCGACAGCATGTCGATTTCTGCTCCTCAATAAACTGAGATTTGCACCTTCGATGCACCGCCTCCGACTCCCTTCTCTCGGCACTACAATATACCCTATCATCATATACCCTCCTGGAAACCGGGGGAAAGTGTCTTCCAATTTCCTTTCTTTTGTGACTTTCTACTAATTGAGAGTTCAAATGTAGACTTTTTTTAATGTAATTAAATGTTTAATGTTTATACAGTAAATAGAGGACCTGAAGACCCTCTCAGCTGACCACTTGCCGGCGCATGCGCAGCGGCTCTCCCACAGTCCGGCGCATGCGCAGCGCAGCGGCTCTCGCACAGTCCGGCGCATGCGCAGTGCGGCGTGTCTCTCGGAAGTTTACCCAGCAGTGATTTTCTCCCGACAGCAGAAACTCTTCTCTGTAAATTAAACTCGCTTTTCCCCGAGAGAAAGCGCGTCTGGACGGATCCTTTGCCCCCGAAGTGCCGCTCGGAGACCTGCTGATGGATGTAACCCGACTCAGCCCGAGTTTAAGCCGAGTTTAGCCCGAGTTTAGCCCGAGTTCTGCCGTGTTTCTGGATGGTAAACTGTCCGCAGAAGTTGTGTTGTTTTGGCGCTCGGGAGGAAGATGGAGGCTCTGTAGCATCAGGCTAACGGTTATAAATATATATATACACATATATATAACCTCCACTCACTGACGGGGTGAGTACTGTGTTCAAGTTACACTTAGAGCAGTTCTGTGTGGAGTTAGCAGAGGAGCTAATTAGGTAGCCGAAATCTGTGTTTGCTTGTTGAGAGGTTAGCCTAGCATCCTGCTAACTAGCTGCTGCTGCTAACACTTATGCTGCTTAGCTTCCTGCTAACTAGCTGCCATCCAGAGGTGAAGGAAGTACTCATGTTGTACTTAAGTAGAAGTACAAGCACTCAGATCTGGTACTTCAGTACAAGCACTCAGATCTGGTAATTTAGTACAAGTAATCAGACTGGATTAGTAAAAATGCTCAGATGTTGTACTTTATTAGAAATACTCAGATCTGGTACTTTAGTAAAAGTAGAAGTACTCAGATCTTGTACTTTAGTAAAAGTAGAAGTACTCAGATCTTGTACTTTAGTAAAAGTAGAAGTACTCAGATCTTGTACTTGAGTAAAGAAATACTCTGTTACAGTAAAAGTAGTCATTGTCCATTTCAGAATAATATATATGCTATGTTTTATAATGATTGATCACTAAAGTGTTCTCAACGCTGGTAAAGGTGCAGCTGGTTGTATTAAGTACAGTACTGTAGTAAATCTACTATTAGTTACTTTACACTACAATCACTGCCCGGCTAATTATTTTCTTTTTTAGCCTTCTCTGGCATCAGAGAGAGCTTTAATAACCAACCAGCGTTTGTTATTTATGTTATGTATTACACGGCTTAGTTGAATACTCGATTCTGTTCAATTCGGACATTTCAGAGGTTGTTAATACCCGATTACACACCGCTGCTAAACACAATAATGACCTTGCTGCAGAGGATCAAGAGAGAGAAGGAAAAGAGGTTTTAAAAACAGAGACGTCAGAGAAATACCCAGAAGGAGACAGACAGGAAGTAAACACTATGAATAAAGCTGAGGTTTGGACTCAAAGTCACAGAGGTGTTTTGTTAAATGTGAGATTTAGTTGTTATGAATATTGATGAAAGATTTGTAATGTCTGCAGAGCTGCTGTTGATGTTCACTGATCGACTAAAGCATGAGAGTCCCTCAGCCTCTGAGGATGGGACCAGGGCTACCGGAGGCAGAATCTAGGTCAGTGTCCTTTATTACACTGGTGTTACTGCTGTTACTATCACTGCTGTTACTATCACTGGTGTTACTATCACTGCTGTTACTATCACTGCTGTTACTGTCACTGGTGTTACTGCTGTTACTATCACTGCTGTTACTATCACTGCTGTTACTATCTCTGGTGCTACTATCACTGCTGTTACTATCACTGCTGTTACTATCACTGGTGTTACTATCACTGGTGTTACTATCTCTGCTACTATCACTGGAGTTACTGGTGTTACCGCTGTTACTATCACTGGAGTTACTGTTGTTACCGCTGTTACTATCACTGGAGTTACTGTTGTTACTATCACTGCTGGTACTATCACTGGAGTTACTATCACTGCTGGTACTATCACTGCTGTTACTATCACTGTTACTATCACTGCTGTTACTATCACTGCTGTTACTATCACTGGTGTTACTGTTGTTACTATCACTGGTGTTACTGTTGTTACTATCACTGGTGTTACTGTTGTTACTATCACTGTTGTTACTATCACTGGTGTTACTATCACTGGTGTTACTATCACTGGTGTTACTATCACTGCTGTTACTATCTCTGGTGCTACTATCACTGCTGTTACTATCACTGCTGTTACTATCACTGGTGTTACTGTTGTTACTATCACTGGTGTTACTGTTGTTACTATCACTGGTGTTACTATCACTGGTGTTACTATCACTGTTGTTACTGTTGTTACTATCACTGGTGTTACTGTTGTTACTATCACTGGTGTTACTATCACTGGTGTTACTATCACTGCTGGTACTATCACTGCTGTTACTATCACTGGTGTTACTGTGTTACTGTTGTTACTATCACTGGTGTTACTATCACTGCTGTTACTATCACTGCTGTTACTATCACTGCTGTTACTATCTCTGGTGCTACTATCACTGCTGTTACTATCACTGCTGTTACTATCACTGTTGTTACTATCACTGTTGTTACTATCACTGGTGCTACTATCACTGCTGTTACTATCACTGGTGTTACTATCACTGGTGTTACTATCTCTGCTACTATCACTGGTGTTACTGTTGTTACTATCACTGGTGTTACTGTTGTTACTATCACTGGTGTTACTATCACTGCTGTTACTATCACTGCTGTTACTATCACTGCTGTTACTATCACTGGAGATACTATCACTGTTGTTACTATCACTGGTGTTACTGTTGTTACCGCTGTTACTATCACTGTTGTTACTATCACTGCTGTTACTATCACTGCTGTTACTATCACTGTTGTTACTATCACTGCTGTTACTATCACTGCTGTTACTATCACTGCTGTTACTATCACTGCTGTTACTGCTGTGACTATCACTGCTGTTACTGCTGTTACTATCACTGGTGTTACTGTTGTTACTGCTGTTACTATCACTGTTGTTACTATCACTGCTGTTACTATCACTGTTGTTACTATCACTGCTGTTACTATCACTGCTGTTACTGCTGTTACTATCACTGGTGTTACTGTTGTTACAGCTGTTACTATCACTGTTGTTTAGGGATGGGTATCGTTTGAAATGTATCGATTCCGATTCCAGTTCTGCTTATCGATTCCGGTTCTTATCGATTCCCCGTTTCGATTCCAAAATTGTAAAAGAAAGAGGTCAAACGTTTAGATAACAAAAATATTTTTATTCTTTTAAGCTTTAACTGACATTTTTACAAATAAAAAATATACATGCAATACATATGTATTGCACAATAGTTGTGCTTTATTTGAACTGAGCTATGCCTGTGGCAAGCTATCAACAGGCATTACACTGTGCCTTGTCTTTTTCTTTTTTAGTGTAGTGGAGCCTCACTTTAGAGCGTTTACCGCGATCCATCTTTGGTGTTATGAAGTGACTGAGCTCGTGAACTGTCTACGGGAGGGCGGGGGGAGCCTCGCTGCGGGGCAACTGGACCTCTGTCGCCGCAACTTACATGATGCCGTTTTAAAAAATTAAGGGCGGTGCCGGCCGCCAGCGTACCGAGCCGGCCGTCAACGGCCCGCTGACGACCGGCCGTTCTGTGATTCTCTAGAACACACAGATGTTCCAGTCCGCCCTTACCCTGGCTGTATTCCACCGGGTCACCGTGGCGCAGACGTTTAGGAACCGTTAAGCAGAACCGAAATTGTGTATTTTGTATGGGTACCCGGTACCCGGCATTTTCTTATCGGTTCTCATCTGGAACCGAGTTTCGGTTCCCAACCTTACTGTTGTTACTATCACTGCTGTTACTATCACTGCTGTTACTATCACTGCTGTTACTATCACTGGAGTTACTATCACTGGTGTTAGTGTTGTTACCGCTGTTACTATCACTGGAGTTACTGTTGTTACTATCACTGGAGTTACTGTTGTTACTATCACTGGAGTTACTATCACTGCTGTTACTGGTGTTACTATCACTGTTGTTACTTTCACTGGAGTTACTGTTGTTACTGTTGTTACTTTCACTGGTGTTACTGTTGTTACTTTCACTGGAGTTACTGTTGTTACTATCACTGGAGTTACTGTTGTTACTATCACTGGTGTTACTATCACTGGTGTTACTGCTGTTACTATCACTGGAGTTACTGTTGTTACTATCACTGGTGTTACTATCACTGGTGTTACTGTTGTTACTATCACTGGAGTTACTGTTGTTACTATCACTGGTGTTACTATCACTGGTGTTACTGGTGTTACTATCACTGGAGTTACTGTTGTTACTATCACTGGTGTTACTGTTGTTACTATCACTGGTGTTACTATCACTGGTGTTACTGCTGTTACTATCACTGGAGTTACTGTTGTTACTATCACTGGTGTTACTATCACTGCTGTTACTGTTGTTACTATCACTGGTGTTACTATCACTGGTGTTACTGCTGTTACTATCACTGGAGTTACTATCACTGCTGTTACTGGTGTTACTATCACTGTTGTTACTGTTGTTACTATCACGTGAGGTACGCAAACAAACGATTAGGAACACAGGCGGCTTTTCTTTTTCATTTTCATTTCACCTGGACGCAAGAATTTATTTTACATCACGGTGATCTGGAAAGCCACAATGCTCGAGTAGTTTATTTCTGCATCAGAGAGCTGAAGTGGAGGAACTGATTTAAATGACATTATATACTGCTGGGTAGCTTGTGAAATTCACCATGGGATCAATAACCTTTTATCTTAACCTATAATAATATATGATAAACTATTTCTTGATTATATTTTGTAGTACTCTGAATCTTCAAAGTTACTAAAGTTATCAAATAAATGTAGCGCAGTATAAAGTACACTATTTACCTGAATGGGAGTGGAGCAGTACAGTACTTAAGTAAATGTACTTTGTTACTGTCTACCGCTGTTCATTGTTCAAGATTTCAATGTAAATTTGCAAGACGTTTCTGCCCCTCTTTTCACATGTAACTTTTCATACGTGAGGTTGGCTTCCTTCTCCCATTATCCTCCACAATCTGCCTAGAAGTATTTTAATGTTGTAGCTAGGGATGTCCCGATCACCTTTTTTTGCTCCCGATCCGATTCCGATCATTTGATTTTGACAATCTGCCGATACCGATTTTTCCCGATCCGATCTTTATGCAATGCATTAAGAGAAAAAAAAAGGTAACAGATAACGGCTGGTCATCCAACGCGATGAATTCAGCTATCTTGGCTGTTCTGGGGTAGTTTCTCTTTCCTTTTAAAAGTCTCTGAAAGTGTCGGTTGTTTCAGTGCCGTTACCTGAGTGGCCGCTGTGTACTCGTCGTGTTGTTGTTGGTGGTGTTTGTATTAGATTGGTCATGTTGAACGTAGCTCTGTTCTTTCCACCACGCGGAACCTCCGCCTTGCAAACATTGCATCTGGCTGTTACACTGCCTTCGCTTTCAATTTTATAATACTTCCAAACTCCTGACATTTTCTCTGTCCCGAGTCACCAGCTGAACGTAGCCTCTTGTTAGCTTACTGCTACTATTAGACACTGCGCCCACTCTGTTGCCAGATTTGAGAGAAATAAGCAACCAGGTCTATGAAAACAAGCCCAAAAGAAGCAACACATACATGATGTTGTGTAATTTTAACCCAAAACTAAGGCCTCAGGATGACTTTAAGACGTGAACATGGTCATTTTTGTTTTGTAACATTAAATAAAATGTATAAAAATATTTTATAAAAAAGAAAAAAAAAAAAAAAAAATCCGATCCCCGATTTTTTTCTCCCGATCCCCGATCACGTGAAAATCACGTGATCGGCTCCGATCCCCGATCACGTGATCGGATCGGGACATCCCTAATTGTAGCTGTTAGGGCTGCACGATATATCGTGTCGTGACGATAACCGCGATATGCCCATGCGCGATATTCACATCGCAGGACGTGGCGATTTAAAAAGAAAAATCATTCTTAATTTTTTCTCTCTTTTTTTTCAGGACTTGCGATATTAAGCAGGCAAATTAACTCAAACACGTCATGTTACAATTATTTTGCTGCTTGCTACAAACGGAAAACTTGCGCGGCTCTCATGTCAGGGGTACTTGAGTGAGTGACATGCAGGCTCTGCATGCACAGCAAACCACCAATCACAATCACATCTCCAAAGCAAACGGACCCGGTGATTAAAGGTAAAAACACTGAATAAAGTAGTTTCATGTGTTTCTCCAGTTCGGCGCTGCTAACCGAGCTAGCTCAGCTTGTTGCTCTGATAACTTAAAGGGGACCTATCATGCAAAATGCACTTGTGTACGTCTTTTATACATGAATATGTGTCCCCGGTGTTCCAGGGAACTCACCAAGTGTCAGAAAACACAACCCTCTCTATTTTCCTCCATACCCAAATCTCTAAAAAAGGGGCTGCAACGGATCTGATAAAAACTGATCCAGATTTGAACACTGTCCTGACGTCAGGACGGTGGCGCTACGGCTATTGGGCCAACTCTCCACCAATCAGGAGGAGACAGCCACGGCCATTGCAGTTCGAAAGCGCTGGAGACGCTGTAGTACATATGCCAGGCTTGTAGATGGTGCTGTTCTCACTGAATCTGCCCTTGCAAAAACAGAGCTATAAATTGTCAAAATGAGGCATGGCTAAAATGCATGATCTGTTTGGTATTTTGAAAAATAAAAAGTATAAATATGCCTTATATAGGTATGGCCCTACACTATATTATTCAAATATAGCATGATAGGTCCACTTTAAGATCCAGACGTTCGTGACTAAAATCCTTCATCCAGTTAAATATAGTTACAAAAATACCAATTGTATAGCATTAAAGTTAAAGAAAAGATGGTTTGCGGAAAAAAAAAATCTTTTCTTCAATTCCTGTATGTTTTCATATCGCAATATATATCGCAGGGGGGGGGGAAAATCGCAATGTCAGTTTTTTCCAATATCGTGCAGCCCTAGTAGCTGTTCAAGATGGTCATTTTAAAATATTTAAAAAATATACTGTTAGTAGTTAAACCAATAATAATGCTACGGCTGCAACTGACATTTAAGTAGGCACATTTAATTTTTTTATTAACGCTGTGTGATTAAAAGAATAAACACAAATAGCAGGATAGGCATACATATTTGCTATATCTTGCACCACTGAAAAGACACCGATACTGTTAAAATATTGGCATAGTTCATCCCTGTGCTGCTTGGCTCGAGCTGTAGCATTGGTGGTGTGTGGCAGGGTGGCTATTTGCTATTTGTTGTTTGTATATATCACGCAGTCTGTCTTCCGGTTGCCTCTTTTGAATGACTAATACACACTACTGCTGGTAAGGAGAGTTATTGCCACTCACGCATGCGCAGTGCGTTCGTGCTACTTGGCCGTCGGCTGAAGTCTTTGGGGTGTGTTCAAATGCAACTGTTTGGCCAAGACGCAGGAGACGTGAGGAGACACAACAATCGTGTTCCTTTGGGACGTGTTCTTTGCTGTCAGTTTGGTTTGTCAGGGCCTTTACTATCACTCATGTTACTATCACTGCTGTTACTATCACTGGTGTTACTATCACTGCTGTTACTATCACTGCTGTTACTATCACTGCTTACTATCACTGCTGTTACTATCACTGGTGTTACTATCACTGCTGTTACTATCACTGCTGTTACTATCACTGCTTACTATCACTGCTGTTACTATCACTGGTGTTACTATCACTGGTGTTACTATCACTGGTGTTACTATCACTGCTGTTACTATCACTGCTGTTACTATCACTGGAGTTACTATCACTGCTGTTACTATCACTGGAGTTACTGTTGTTACTATCACTGGTGTTACTATCACTGCTGTTACTATCACTGCTGTTACTATCACTGTTGTTACTATCACTGCTGTTACTATCACTGGTGTTACTATCACTGGTGCTATCACTGCTTTTACTATCACTGTTGTTACTATCACTGGAGTTACTGGTGTTACTATCACTTATCACTGGTGTTACTATCACTGCTGTTACTATCACTGTTGTTACTATCACTGCTGTTACTATCACTGGTGTTACTATCACTGGTGCTATCACTGCTGTTACTATCACTGTTGTTACTATCACTGGAGTTACTGGTGTTACTATCACTTATCACTGGTGTTACTATCACTGCTGTTACTATCACTGGTGTTACTATCACTGTTGTTACTATCACTGGAGTTACTGGTGTTACTATCACTTATCACTGGTGTTACTATCACTGGTGTTACTATCACTGCTGTTACTATCACTGCTGTTACTATCACTGCTGTTACTATCACTGGTGTTACTATCACTGCTGTTACTATCACTGCTGTTACTATCACTGATGTTACTATCACTGCTGTTACTATCACTGTTGTTACTATCACTGGAGTTACTGGTGTTACTATCACTTATCACTGGTGTTACTATCACTGGTGTTACTATCACTGCTGTTACTATCACTGTTGTTACTATCACTGTTGTTACTATCACTGGTGTTACTGTTGTTACTATCACTGGAGTTACTGTTGTTACTATCACTGGTGTTACTGTTGTTACCATCACTGCTGTTACTATCACTGCTGTTACTATCACTGCTGTTACTATCACTGCTGTTACTATCACTGGTGTTACTGTTGTTACTATCACTGGTGTTACTGTTGTTACCATCACTGCTGTTACCATCACTGCTGTTACTATCACTGCTGTTACTATCACTGCTGTTACTATCACTGGTGTTACTGTTGTTACCATCACTGGTGTTACTGTCCCTGGAGTTATTACACGGTTACCACACTGTTATTATAGGGTTATTTTCTCTATAATTACACTAGTATCTTGGTCAGTTTGTAATTGGAGATTCTGATCGGGCGTTGTTATTGGGTAAACATGTAATACATAACACCTCCCATCAGTAACTGAGCATAGTTACTGACAAGCCGTTGCTATTATGTGCATGTAAAGGTAGCCATTGTTGTAGTTTGTGTAACCTTTGTGTGTGTGTGTGTGTGTGTGTGTCAGATGTCAGATGGTGCTCTGAAGAACCATGGGTAGCTGTTTAAGCTGTCCAGAGAAAGAATTGGTTCCAGATAATGATCAGAGTAAATTCAAGGTGAGTGTTTCCTGTTCCTCAGGTCAGACGGAAAATCAGTGAACGAGCCTTGTTGTTGTTGTTTTACCTGCTGCTATTGTTAACCTGTTGTTATTTACCTGTTTGTTCACCTGGTCAGGTGATAAACGTGGACGACGATGGGAACGAGTTGGGCTCAGGTGTGATGGAGCTGACGGACGCTGAGCTCGTCCTCCACACTCATCGCCGTGACGATGTCAGGTGGCCTTACCTGTGCTTACGTCGCTATGGTTACGACTCCAACCTGTTCTCATTTGAGAGCGGGCGGCGCTGCCAGACGGGCCAAGGTACGGGTCACATGATGCGGGTCCCTCCACTGAGGCAGGGACACTCTACTAGGGCAGGGACACTCTACTGAGGCAGGGACACTACTGAGGCAGGGACACTCCACTGAGGCAGGGACACTCCACTGAGGCAGGGACACTCCACTGAGGCAGGGACACTCCACTGAGGCAGGGACACTCTACTAGGGCAGGGACACTCTACTGAGGCAGGGACACTCCACTGAGGCAGGGACACTCCACTGAGGCAGGGACACTACACTGAGGCAGGGACACTCTACTGAGGCAGGGACACTCTACTGAGGCAGGGACACTACACTGAGACAGGGACACTCTACTAGGGCAGGGACACTCTACTAGGGCAGGAACACTCCACTGAGGCAGGGACCCTCCACTGAGACAGGGACACTCTACTAGGGCAGGGACACTCTACTAGGGCAGGGACACTCCACTGAGGCAGGGACACTCTACTGAGGCAGGGACACTCTACTGAGGCAGGGACACTACACTGAGACAGGGACACTCTACTAGGGCAGGGACACTCTACTAGGGCAGGAACACTCCACTGAGGCAGGGACCCTCCACTGAGACAGGGACACTCTACTAGAGCAGGGACACTCTACTAGGGCAGGAACACTCCACTGAGGCAGGGACACTACTGAGGCAGGGACACTCCACTGAGGCAGGGACACTACACTGAGACAGGGACACTCTACTAGGGCAGGGACACTCTACTAGGGCAGGAACACTCCACTGAGGCAGGGACCCTCCACTGAGACAGGGACACTCTACTAGGGCAGGGACACTCTACTAGGGCAGGAACACTCCACTGAGGCAGGGACACTACTGAGGCAGGGACACTCCACTGAGTCAGGGACACTCCACTGAGGCAGGGACACTCCACTGAGGCAGGGACACTACTGAGGCAGGGACACTCCACTGAGGCAGGGACACTCCACTGAGGCAGGGACACTCCACTGAGGCAGGGACACTCCACTGAGGCAGGGACACTCCACTGAGTCAGGGACACTCCACTGAGGCAGGGACACTCCACTGAGGCAGGGACACTCCACTGAGGCAGGGACACTTCACTGAGGCAGGGACACTCCACTGAGACAGGGACACTCCACTGAGGCAGGGACACTTCACTGAGGCAGGGACACTCCACTGGGGTAGAGACACTCCACTGAGGTAGAGACACTCCAGTGAGACAGGGACACTTCACTGAGACAGGGACACTTCACTGAGACAGGGACACTTCACTGAGACAGGGACACTTCACTGAGGCAGGGACACTTCACTGAGGCAGGGACACTCCACTGGGGTAGAGACACTCCACTGAGGTAGAGACACTCCACTGAGGCAGGGACACTCCACTGAGGCAGGGACACTCCACTGAGACAGAGACCCTCCACTGTGGCAGGGACACTCCACTGAGTCAGGAACACTCCACTGAGGCAGGGACACTCCACTGAGGCAGGGACACTCCACTGAGGCAGGGACCCTCCACTGAGACAGGGACACTCCACTGAGGCAGGGACCCTCCACTGAGACAGGGACCCTCCACTGAGACAGGGACACTCCACTGAGGCAGGGACCCTCCACTGAGGCAGGGACACTCCACTGAGGCAGGGACCCTCCACTGAGGCAGGGACCCTCCACTGAGACAGGGACACTCCACTGAGGCAGGGACCCTCCACTGAGACAGGGACCCTCCACTGAGACAGGGACCCTCCACTGAGACAGGGACCCTCCACTGAGACAGGGACACTTCACTGAGTCAGGGACACTCCACTGAGGCAGGGACCCTCTACTAGGGCAGGGACCCTCCACTGAGACAGAGACACTTCACTGAGTCAGGGACACTCCACTGAGGCAGGGACCCTCTACTAGGGCAGGAACACTCCACTGGGGTAGAGACACTCCACTGGGGTAGAGACACTCCACTGAGGCAGGGACCCTCTACTAGGGCAGGGACACTCCACTAGGGCAGGGCCACTTCACTGAGGCAGGGCCACTTCACTGAGGCAGGGACCCTCCACTGAGACAGGGACACTTCACTGAGGCAGGGACACTCCACTGAGGCAGTGCCACTTCACTGAGGCAGTGACCCTCCACTGAGACAGGGACACTTCACTGAGGCAGGGACCCTCCACTGAGGCAGGGACACTTCACTGAGGCAGGGCCACTTCACTGAGGCAGGGCCACTTCACTGAGGCAGTGCCACTTCATTGAGGCAGGGCCACTTCACTGAGGCAGGGACACTCCACTGAGGCAGGGCCACTCCACTGAGGCAGGGCCACTTCACTGAGGCAAGGCCACTTCACTGAGGCAGGGCCACTTCACTGAGGCAGGGACACTCCACTGAGGCAGGGCCACTTCAATGAGGCAGTGTGTCTGATGGTGTCTGACGGTGTTTGATGGTATCTGGTTGTGTCTGACGGTGTTTGACGGTGTTTGATGGTGTCTGGTTGGTGTTTGATGGTGTCTGGTTGGTGTTTGATGGTGTCTGGTTGGTGTTTGATGGTGTCTGGTTGGTGTTTGATGGTGTCTGACGGTGTTTGACGATGTTTGATGGTATCTGGTTGTGTCTGACGGTGTTTGATGGTGTCTGGTTGTGTCTGACGGTGTTTGGCGATGTTTGATGGTATCTGGTTGTGTCTGACGGTGTTTGATGGTTGTGTTTGATGGTATCTGGTTGTGTCTGACGGTGTTTGGCGGTGTTTGATGGTGTTTGATGGTATCTGGTTGGTGTTTGATGGTGTCTGGTTGGTGTTTGATGGTGTCTGGTTGGTGTTTGATGGTGTCTGGTTGGTGTCTGACGGTGTTTGACGATGTTTGATGGTATCTGGTTGTGTCTGACGGTGTTTGATGGTGTCTGGTTGTGTTTGACAGTGTCTGGTTGTGTTTGATGGTGTCTGTTTGGTGTCTGGTTGTGTCTGGTTGGTGTTTGATGGTGTCTGGTTGGTGTTTGATGGTGTCTGGTTGGTGTTTGATGGTGTCTGGTTGGTGTTTGATGGTATCTGGTTGTGTCTGACGGTGTTTGTGTCTCTCAGGGATCTTTGCCTTCAAGTGTTCCCGTGCAGAGGAGATCTTCAACATGCTGCAGGAGGTGATGCACAGCCACAGCATCAGGGTGGTGGAGGAGGCAGTGCTGGAGCCTGCTACTGCTGCAGGTACACACACACACACACACACACACACACACACACACACACACACACACACACACACACACACACACACACCAAGCATGCACACCAAGCACGCACACACACACACACACACACACACACACACACACCAAGCACACACATATATTGTGGAAGCCTACTTCATCCTGGAATGAAACTAAAGTGTTTGTGTGTTTTAGTTCTGGGTTACTCGGTGCCCACGGTTCCTAACGGAGTGACCAGGATCCCGTCTGTGGGTGAGGCCCCGTCTCACCCCTCCTCCCGTCACCCGTCTGTGGCGTCCACCCGCCTGCCCTCCGTGGGGGAGGAGTCAACCCACCCCCTGCTGGTGGCCGACGACGCGGTGAGACACACTTCCTGTTCATCACTTCCTGTTCCTCACTATGATATCTTCCTGTTCCTGATCACTAACTTGACCCCCCTGTGTTCCTGCAGGTCCACACCTATGTAAACACCACGGGGCTCCTGGAGGATCAGCCCAGCCCCCTGACCGTCGCCTCCCCACCCCTGGAGAGTCCCACCTCTGCCCCCCCGACCCCCCCGCCTCCCCCGAGGGCGCGCTGTGAGCCTCCCCCTCCCCCCACGGAGCCCCAGGTGGTGCTGGAGCCTCAGGGCGTCCGCTTTGTGTTGGGACCCACCCCCGTCCAGAGGCAGCTGATGAAGCAGCAGGAGACCCAGGGAGAGGGGGAGGGGCCTACAGAGGGGGAAGAGCCTCTGGGGGGGGAGGGGCCTCAGCAGGAAGACGAGCTCCTAGAGACTAATGGACACGCCTCCCCTCCCCCCTTAATCTCCACGGCCCCCCGCCGCCACCGCCCGCCCCCCCTCACCCCCGACCTGCAGAACGTAAACAACTCTGCTCAGCGCCGCACGGCCCTCTTGGACTACGAGAACCTGCCGGCGCTGCCCCCCGTGTGGGAGGCGCGCAAGCTGAGCGGGGGGGGAGGAGGCAAGGATGCCGGCTCTGAACGGCTTCAACCACCCTCTGACTCACCCTCTGTCACACCCTCTAATTCACCCTCTGACTCACCCTCTGTCTCACCCGCTGACTCACCCGCTGTCTCACCCGCTGTCTCACCCGCTGTCTCACCCTCTGTCCGCCGCCCTCGAGTGCTCGCACAACTACGTGAACACGGAGAACGTGACAGCGCCGCTCAGCGCCCGGCCGGACACGGCGCGCCGCCGCCCCCCCCGAAGGTCCATCCATCTTCAACTTCGACTTCCGCCGGCCGGAGCCCAAGACCCTGAACTACATCGAGGTGGACACGGACGGCGGGAACAAAGGCACGTCGGACGGCAGCAACCCCCCCACGCCGCGCACCCCCACCTCCCCCCCGCTGCCCCCCAACACCCCCACCCGCCGCACAGAGCTCTACGCCCTCATCGACATCGAGCGCACCGCCGCCATGTCCAACCTGCAGAGGGCCCGGCCGCGGGACGACGGCACCTCACGCAAAACACGACACAACAGCACCGAGCTGCCGACCAAGAGCACCGCGTGACCACTTCCTGTTGCTGACTTAGACACTTCCTGTTCACCACTTCCTGTTTCTGACAAAGGGGACGGGAGACTTCCTGTTTACCACTTCCTGTTGACCACTTCCTATTTTTGACAGAGGGGGCAGGACACTTCCTGTTTTCTGACAGGGACATGGTGACGGGACACTTCCTGTTTATTCTCTGACGGAGACGTGGTGACAGGCCAATTCCTGTTTATACTCTGTTGGGGGGCTCTGGACTCTGAGACGGACTTCCTGTGAGCGCCGCCCCCCGGTGGTACGGATCAGTATTACTGAACAAAGCATTCCATGTATCTTTTGTACGATGACGGCGCTGCTGTCGCTCCGCAGGACCGTCCGTCGGTTCTGCACAATAAATGTCTGTTCTGTTTTTACCCTGCTGTTTTCCTTCAGTCCGAGTATTATTACCAACTGTTACTGAATACTGTTACGACAGCTGTTTCCAACTGTTGTTACTACCTACTGTTACCGTCTACTGTTACTACCTACTGTTACTACATCCTGTTACCGACTACTGTTACTACCTAGTGGTACTACCTACTGTTACCGTCTACTGTTACAACATCCTGTTACCGTCTACTGTTACTACCTACTGTAACTACCTACTGTTACCGTCTACTGTTACTACCTACTGTTACCGTCTACTGTTACTACCTACTGTTACCGTCTACTGTTACTACCTACTGTTACTACCTACTGTTACCGACTACTGTTACTACCTACTGTTACCGTCTACTGTTACTACCTACTGTTACCGACTACTGTTACTACCTACTGTTACCGTCTACTGTTACTACCTACTGTTACTACCTACTGTTACTACCTACTGTTACCGTCTACTGTTACTACCTACTGTTACTACCTACTGTTACCACCTACTGTTACGACTACTGTTACCGTCTACTGTTACTACCTAGTGGTACTACCTACTGTTACCGTCTACTGTTACTACCTACTGTTACCGTCTACTGTTACTACCTACTGTTACCGTCTACTGTTACTACCTACTGTTACCATCTACTTTTACTACCTACTGTTACTACCTACTGTTACCGTCTACTGTTACTACCTACTGTTACCGTCTACGGTTACAACATCCTGTTACCGTCTACTGTTACTACCTACTGTTTCTACCTACTTTTACTACATCCTGTTACCGTCTACTGTTACTACCTACTGTTACTACCTACTGCTACCGACTACTGTTACTACCTACTGTTACTACCTACTGTTACCGTCTACTGTTACTACCTACTGTTACCATCTACTGTTAATACCTACTGTTACCGACTACTGTTACTACCTACTGTTACCGTCTACTGTTACTACCTACTGTTACGACTACTGTTACGTCTACTGTTACTACCTACTGTTACCGACTACTGTTACCGTCTACTGTTACTACCTACTGTTACCGTCTACTGTTACTACATCCTGTTACCGTCTACTGTTACTACATCCTGTTACCGACTACTGTTACTACCTACTGTTACCGACTACTGTTACTACCTACTGTTACCGTCTACTGTTACTACATCCTGTTACCGTCTACTGTTACTACCTACTGTTACCGACTACTGTTACGACTACTGTTACCGTCTACTGTTACTACCTACTGTTACCGTCTACTGTTACTACCTACTGTTACCGACTACTGTTACTACCTACTGTTACCCTCTACTGTTACAACATCCTGTTACCGTCTACTGTTACTACCTACTGTTACCGTCTACTGTTACCGTCTACTGTTACTACCTACTGTTACTACCTACTGTTACCGTCTACTGTTACTACATCCTGTTACCGACTACTGTTACTACCTAGTGGTACTACCTACTGTTACCGTCTACTGTTACAACATCCTGTTACCGTCTACTGTTACTACCTACTGTTACCGTCTACTGTTACATACATCCTGTTACCGTCTACTGTTACTACCTACTGTTACTACATCCTGTTACCGTCTACTGTTACTACCTACTGTAACTACCTACTGTTACCGACTACTGTTATACCTACTGTTACCGTCTACTGTTACCGTCTACTGTTACTACCTACTGTAACTACCTACTGTTACCGTCTACTGTTAGTACCTACTGTTACCGTCTACTGTTACCGTCTACTGTTACTACCTACTGTTACCGTCTACTGTTACTACCTACTGTTACCGACTACTGTTACTACATCCTGTTACCGACTACTGTTACTACCTACTGTTACCGACTACTGTTACCGTCTACTGTTACCGACTACTGTTACTACCTACTGTTACCGACTACAGTTACCGTCTACTGTTACTACCTACTGTTACCGACTACTGTTACTACATCCTGTTACCGTCTACTGTTACTACATCCTGTTACCGACTACTGTTACTACATCCTGTTACTACCTACTGTTGCCGTCTACTGTTACTACATCCTGTTACTACCTACTGTTACCGTCTACTGTTACTACCTACTGTTACCGACTACTGTTTCTACCTACTGTTACCGTCTACTGTTACTACCTACTGTTACCGATTACTGTTACCGTCTACTGTTACTACATCCTGTTACCGTCTACTGTTACTACCTACTGTTACCGTCTACTGTTACCGTCTACTGTTACTACATCCTGTTACCGTCTACTGTTACTACCTACTGTTACCGACTACTGTTACGACTACTGTTACCGTCTACTGTTACTACCTACTGTTACCGACTACTGTTACCGTCTACTGTTACTACCTACTGTTACCGACTACTGTTACTACATCCTGTTACCGACTACTGTTACTACCTACTGTTACCGACTACTGTTACCGTCTACTGTTACTACCTACTGTTACCGACTACTGTTACTACATCCTGTTACCGTCTACTGTTACTACATCCTGTTACCGACTACTGTTACTACATCCTGTTACCGTCTACTGTTACTACATCCTGTTACTACCTACTGTTGCCGTCTACTGTTACTACATCCTGTTACTACCTACTGTTACCGTCTACTGTTACTACCTACTGTTACCGACTACTGTTTCTACCTACTGTTACTACATCCTGTTACCGTCTACTGTTACTACCTACTGTTACCGACTACTGTTACTACATCCTGTTACCGACTACTGTTACTACCTGCTGTTACCGACTACTGTTACCGTCTACTGTTACCGACTACTGTTACCGTCTACTGTTACCGTCTACTGTTACTACATCCTGTTACCGACTACTGTTACTACCTACTGTTACCGACTACTGTTACTACCTACTGTTACCGTCTACTGTTACAGTCTACTGTCACTACCTACTGTTACCGTCTACTGTTACAGTCTACTGTTACTACCTACTGTTACCGTCTACTGTTACCGTCTACTGTCACTACCTACTGTTACCGACTACTGTTACTACCTACTGTTACCGTCTACTGTTACAGTCTACTGTTACTACATACTGTTACCGTCTACTGTTACTACCTACTGTTACCGACTACTGTTACCGTCTACTGTTACTACCTACTGTTACAGTCTACTGTTACTACCTACTGTTACCGTCTACTGTTACTACCTACTGTTACCGTCTACTGTTACAGTCTACTGTTACTACCTACTGTTACCGACTACAGTTACTACCTACTGTTACCGTCTACTGTTACTACCTACTGTTACCGTCTACTGTTACAGTCTACTGTCACTACCTACTGTTACCGTCTACTGTTACAGTCTACTGTTACTACCTACTGTTACCGACTACAGTTACTACCTACTGTTACCGTCTACTATTACTACCTACTGTTACCGTCTACTGTTACAGTCTACTGTCACTACCTACTGTTACCGTCTACTGTTACTACCTACTGTTACCGACTACTGTTACCGTCTACTGTTACTACCTACTGTTACCGTCTACTGTTACAGTCTACTGTTACTACCTACTGTTACCGACTACAGTTACTACCTACTGTTACCGTCTACTGTTACTACCTACTGTTACCGTCTACTGTTACAGTCTACTGTCACTACCTACTGTTACCGTCTACTGTTACTACCTACTGTTATCGACTACTGTTACCGTCTACTGTTACTACCTACTGTTACCGTCTACTGTTACAGTCTACTGTTACGACCTACTGTTACCGACTACAGTTACTACCTACTGTTACCGTCTACTGTTACTACCTACTGTTACCGTCTACTGTTACAGTCTACTGTCACTACCTACTGTTACCGACTACTGTTACCGTCTACTGTTACTACCTTCTAGGGCTGTACCCGAATATCCAAATATTCGTTCGTTTGAGTACTATTCGGGTTTCAATTTCGTTATTCGGATATTCGTTTTGTTTATTTTTTCGTTTTTTCCCGTTTTCTTTTCAAATTGAATTTATTGAAATCTCCAATGTAAGAGCTTGTGCCTCTTCGGGGGGTGGTAACACTTAACCATAAACGTTATTGTTTACTTTCTCCGTCTTTATATGTAGATATTACTTTTCTCCGTTAATCTCCGTCACGTTGTTTCCAAAGCAACAACTTCCTGTCAACAGCGCTAACTCCTTCAAAATAAAAGCATGTCCATAAATAGGAAGCCAAGCCAAATTACACTTAAGACATATACAACTGCAACGAAAGTAACAAACACAATGCGATATCCTTTTCAATTTCAAAGAAAACAAATTGGGTTACATTAACCTGTTCCACTCTGAGCCTGTTTTTCAGGTCTCAGGCTCGAAAATGACATTCCCAGAACAAATGACCATATCTTCCCTTCTAAAAGGGTTAAATTAATAATCTTTGTTCTCAAAGTAATGATAAACCTGTGAGTTGGATGTAGAAGTGTCAGAATCAATATAAATGTTTTTTATTTTAAAGAAAATTCAGATTTTACATAGTAAAAAACTGTAAATTATAGTGTCCGTCCAAAAATTATTTTTTACAGATAGTGAAAACTACCCTTGGATGATGGGCTAGTAGACTAAAAGCTTTAGGAATCCAAAGTACAACATATAATAAGTACCCTGTATCAAGATTGATGCAAAACAAGTGAAATATGACCTTTTTAGAGAGATTTAGCCAAAAACTGGGCCATCTGGGGTCATTTGGGTGGATTTGACCTATCTCTGGCCCCCCTTGCTC